GTTGGCCCCAAACCCAAATTCTAAATATCAAAATTAAACAGCGAAACCGGTTTACTTAGTTAAAATTACAAATAAATTAAGATAGACTACCTACCTAATAATAAAATGTTTACTATTAAATTAAAACTGAAAGAAGAAAAGTACATCTACAGTTGTCTAAACGCTAGTTATATGGACAGGGGGTAAAATTCCGGTTTTTATTGCTAATCTAATTTATCCCGCTCTGTCTATTTCCGGGAAAAATTCCGCCTGCGAACAAACTTTAGAGCGCTCAGGTTGTCATAGTAACGTCAGCTTTGCCCATGGGGTATAAAATTCCAACCCCTATTGGTCTTTTGAAAACTGTTGATGTCTAAATGGCTGTCAGTAGAAACCAAAATAAATTTATACCATAACATAACTATCCCAATAACACTTTAATGTTCAGAAAGTTGGGCACTGAACATGAAATCCAAACACCCTTATTATTATTGCGCTTGAGAATAGAGTGCAGAGAAATTTATGTGGACCAGTTCAAGATAACGAATGTTGGAAAATACAAGAGATCAGAAATAAGAGCTACAAGAAATGTTCAACCACCAATAGGAGTGTTTTCCAAAAGTAAAAGGCTAATTAATATGGTCAGGCTAATACCATTGACTATATATACCTATAGGTATATATAGCCAGGTATATATACCTGTAGGTATATATAGTCAATGCTAATACATGGAGGAGAGAGGTTACATCAACTTTCCAACGTGTATTTTGTGGTATTCCTAGCACAAAGTAGACCAAGTAGGTTGGAAGACCAAGTAATGAAAGAAGTCTCCAAACTGGGGTGTACATTAAAAGAGGCAGGTGATGGAAGAAGATTGGTATGTGTTTTTGCTGTCGGAGCCAAAAGGTTTCGATAGCTCTTAAGGTTTCAATAGCCACGGGCGTAACATAAGATTAGCAATATTATTCATTGTAAAGTGTAAAGTGGTATGTACTGTAGCGAGGGTCGCCGTAATTGTACCCCCTCCTGATCGTCGTTTCGTCGACATTTTGACGTCACACCACTCACACCAGAGGTGGTACAATTCCTGAATCCAGTCTGTACACTTGGATTGTAACATAATTATCTACCAGTGTGGAAATTAGCCTCCAATTTCACTTCAAGGCCTTTCCAATTGCCAATGTTGCTGTTTTACTGTAAAATCATTAGGGTTAAAATGCACACCGTAAACAGCAACTTTTTTAATTGTATTAAAGGTTTTGATAGTGGGTAATAAATTCCTCAGTGGTTATAATATTTAGCACCATTCTACCTAGACTTTTCCATTCAATGAAGACAGGAAATTAAGTTGGCAACCTCAAATTGACGAAACATGCAAAAAGTTATCTAGAGTTGTCTTTCTGCTGCGTAGGCTAAAGAGTAGCTTAAGTGATGCCTTTCTTATAAACATCTACCACGGACTGTTCCATAGTCACATTACGGCATACTTCTCTGGGGCCATGCTTCAGGGTGTGATGAAGTGCTCACTACACTACAAAAATCTGCCTTGAGAGCCATAACATCTAGGGCTCCTTTGGAACACTGTAAGCCAATCTAGAAGGCTAAAGGTGCATACTGTTATTGGGCAGTTTATATTCTCCTCCCTTGTACACGTCAGGTTGAGCTACTAGAGACCAGAGGAGATGTTCACAGCTATAATACACGTAGCAGAAGCAAAATTGACATCCCTAGATTCCGCCTCACGGGAACACAGCGCCGTTTTCCTGCTTTTTCTTGGAAGTTGTTCAACAAGCTCTCCACAGAGATCAGCAGTCTTCCAGGCAAAAAGTTTGCCAGAGTTGTACGAGATAGGCTTCTTCAAGGAGCATACTACTCCGTGAGAGAGTATTTTGATGACAAATGGTAGAGTGCACTATCGCCTCCATAGTCGCCTGCCAAGTTCTTGTTTTTATTTTTTAAACTTTCAAATTTATTTTCTTGAAAGATACAAGTTTTATTTGTTGTAAATAATTAATATTTATATTAAACATTGAGGCAGTTTATCCAGCTATGCTGGTCAACAACGCAGCTTTGGTAATAAGGTAATGTAAGTAAAAAATTTGAAGCCAAAAAACGTGGTGCAATCTGGTAAGATGGTCTACCAACTAATGACAATATTCTCTTTGTCAAGTGATACCAGGTAAATCAGCTTTAGGCTTACATTTAATATTCAAACATTGACTATACAATACAATCACAAAATAATCTAACAATAGTTTGGCGAAAAAAGAATTTCTCTAAATTTGGTTCAATTTTCACAGCATTTAAACGTATATAATCTCACAAATTTAATTAACAACAAAACTGATTAGCCTACATAAAACAATTTAGGAATCAGTTCAAAATAACACAATTCCTGAAAACGCAAATTATTTACAGGAAAAGCATTACCCTTAGTATAATAATAGAAAATTAAAAATATAGGCTACTAAGGATTAAAACCTTTTGTTAACAACGTAAAACGTAAACAATTCAGTACCAACAGTTTGCACCAGTCTGCACTGAAAACCAGCAAAATAAATTGTATTGCACTGAAACAAACGAAAAATGCTAGCTAGTAGTATCGGCTGCTACTGACTAAAAAAAATCAAACTCAATTAAAAAAAATAAAATTGTAACTCAGGGAATAGGAACGTTATTGGCCTTGGAGGGGACCTCGGAACCTTTGCCATAGTTGTATTAACTATGGCTTTGATGACATTCCCTTCCTTACAAAATTATCTTTCTTTTATACGGTAGCATAAAAATCACGAAAATCGGTCGAGTGGTTGATTCAGAATCTTGAAATAAAGAACCCTCTCGAGCTTTAATAAATAAGATATAGACTACCATATAATACAGCAATAAAATTTGATAAATGCTAAATTTAAATAGGATATAAGCATTAACTTTCACAAAATAAAAGTACTGTAGCACGTTTTATTTAATTTTAAAATTGAAGCTGAGTATGATGATAACCTTTTTAAATTGCAGTTTATTGCAATCGATTTTAGCAAAAGGGAGGTTTAATGGGATACAAATTGCGATTCAATTAGAAAATTTACCATACCGGTATTTGTAATATTTTTTTGCTTCAGAACGAACGTCTACGAGATTGATATTAGAATTAGGCTATATTATGTAGTTGAATTCTAACTTTAGTTGAGTGTAATATTTATCATCATTTACTTCATTCACACAACATTGTTTACTAACCGCTTGTCACGTCACAAATGAATCAAGTAGCCTAAGTTTATGTGATTTAATTAATTAATATTTACTACGATTTTTTTTTACTTTGGTTTGAATAATGGTACCAAACGATGCGTTGATTGGCGTGATTACGATTTTTCCAGTTGTAAAAACTCTCGTACCGGTACCTCTTCTACAGTTTATTATATTTCTGTATTGATTCGATATTTTGCTGTTGATACTGTACAGTTACCAAATAAATGTTAACATTATAACACAATAAATAAAAGCTACGCGAATCAACTTTTATTGTCGCTATCTACATTACGACCCTTACGATAAACTTTAATTTTACGCTAGCGTTGGAAGGGATGAAGAGCGATGCGTTTTGACAAACACGATAGAAAATTAGCGCTCTTGAAATAGGTAGGTACTTAGTTAATTTTACAATATGCAGTTCAATATTCAAAATAAGTCCAAATAACTTAATACTTTCATCCGCTTTCTGGCATAGATTTCAACTAGTTTATAATTTGTTTAGTTTAAAGTTATAATTTCACCGGTTTTTAGCACAATAGGCCTATTACATTGAGTATACTGGGGAAACAAACATAGTTTTCTTTTCGTATTTAAGAATTCTAAGTCTAACTTAAATAAACGGTATCAGCATTCTGACACATACTTTCTCCCATAAGTTTGTCAACAACCTTTATCATGTGTAAGCGGTGAGAGTAAATATACGGAAATGGAATTAGTAAAATTTTTTTCAGAATTTAAAGGACTACATACAAAATTTTTATCAAAATCGTTCAGGCCATTTTTGTGAAAATCAGATTTTCCGTAATATTATGGGGGTTTTTATGGGAAAATAACATAATTTACAATAACTTTTGAACCATAATTTTTACAGAAATGGGATTTGTACAATTTTTTTCAGAATTTAAAGGGCTACAACATACTAAACTTTTATCAAAATAGTTCGGGCCATTATCGAGAAAATCCGATTTTCCGGTTTTTTATGAGAAAATCCCCATTAAAAATCAAAATTTCAAAAAAATGAAAAAAAACACCTGGAAATACTATGGATTAGGACCTACATACCAAATTTCATCGAAATCGGACCACAGGTGTAGTCCCTAGCTCCTGTACACGGGTCGCCGGAAGACTGCCCCCCGGAAAACTACCCCCCCCCCCAAGCAGGTTCCTACGTCATATTGACGTCAGAGACCGGGGGGGCAGTTTTCCAGTCACGGACACTCAAATTTAGTTGTCAAACAGTTCTAATCTAACCTAACCTAACCAACCAAACTTGCTGTAACATTTCGAAAATCTGTTTTATATTCACCACATGCCTTTTCTATTATCCAACGGAATTACTCGAATTAAAATTAAAATTACGTAGCATGATTTGTCTAGGGGGGGTAGTATTCCAGTCGCGGACACGGCTTCCATATTGGTTAGTTGGCAGATTTTGTGACGTCACGTTTCACCTGGGGGGGGGGTAGTTTTCCGGGGGATAGTATTCCGCATCCCCCTGTACACATCCAGACACACACACACACAGACATCACTTCGAAAACCACTTTTATGGGTCCAGGGGGACCCAAAACGAATATATCCACTCAAAACTCAAACTCGAAAATTTTGACGAAAACAATACTTTCTCCATATACTATGGTATAGGGGGAGAAAGTAAAAAGTAAACCCTGTAGGCATTAATCATCATGCGCGTTTGAAAACTGATTTAGGCACATGCGCAACTCCTGCAATTCTCTCTTGAGTCTTGAGTGTCATCGATCGACCGGAATAGCCATGACGTCATTTCAACATGGCGGCCAATTCTGACTTGGTTTAATTGGCAGAAATTCAACTGCGTCTTCCATCAGATAAATTCGTCTGCTCTACTTGGGAGGTAAGTTAAATCAAAATGTAATACAAAACACGAGTTGTATTAAATACAACTTACTTCATCACTGTTTGAAATAAGTATCACTTGAGGTAAAGGACTTGTAATGGGTTATTTTAAATCTATTTTATATAGGTATTTTGTTTGCTTTTTACCCTTTTTAATATATTGGGCAACTATATTATTAACAATTGGATGCACCAGTTGAAATACCTCTATCTCATTTGTCGATTGTGTACCTACTTAAATAATGTTACACCATTTATGGCTTTTAATTATTGTATGTAAACTGCACAAATACCTCAAAAATATTATTTTTAATTATGTTTTCAGTGGCTTTATTGCAGTCTTCACAATTCCAATTTTTAATATATGCATCTCAAAATTAATTGATCTTAAACAAATGCTTATTAGCAAAGTACCTATGTACTTGCCAAACATATTTTCACAAAACGTGAGCTGGGGTCTATAACATGAGTCCTGCGAATTGAGCCTTTTTTTATTTTTCAGCATTGCCATTATAGGTTAGACATCAAATCACTTTTATGGGATGTGGATTTAAATAGTGTTTGATAATTATAAATTGGTTTCAAACTTAAATTTCTCAAATATGTCAAATTTCATACAATGAGTGATGTTTTCCAAAATATTAAAATGTTTTTAAACTCCTGCATTTATAGGCTATTTATATTGTTCCGATCAACAAATCAAATAAAAGTAAAAGATATATATAAAATTGTAAAGTTAGGCCTAAAACAAAATAAACAAATAGGCCTACTTTAAAAGAAATAGTTGGATATTGATTAAAAATAGATATTCCAATTAATTATTATTTATCAAGTTGTAAGTGTTGAGTTTTAGAATACAGATGAATGTGAAATTGAGCCACTCCCAGTGCTTGGGTAAATTATTGTGGATTTAATAATACATAAATATTGAGGGACAAAACTGGCTGGGTAGCTGAAAGCTTGCGAAACAATCAAAAAGTTCCCAAATCGATCCTGAGAAAAATCAGTAGCTTTTTGATGGTTCGAAACTGGACTCAGCTGTCCCTGGTAATTATGGGCTTTAGATAAATAATCCTGGCTATAAAATGAAACAGCTGATTTTAGCCAGTAACAAAGTTACATAGAGCCATCATCTCACTCCATGCCACACTCATTCGTGGGTTAAAATACACACCTTGGTGGCGTTTTCATCTCAATGATAATGATGATAATTGATATAGCAATGACAACAGAATAGGTGGACAGTTTAACTAGTATAATTTATATATAAGTTCCTCTGTTTACTACCAGGTGGTGTTGATGAGTTGAAAGCGTACCACTATGACAGAGCTAAAGGGATCTGCAGGACCCCCGACATTGTCTGCTCCTTCCCCTGAGTTTCTGCTCGTAGATGAGGAGTCATCGTCCACGTACCCTCTCCTCACTCCCTCCCCACCAGCTGAATTTGACCATCCTCTCACATTGGATACGCCACCAGGTATGTGATCACTTGAATCTGGAATTTATCATGTACTAAATGTATCATGATTTTTATTACGTTGTGTTTTTTTTCCACTAGAGTAATACTTTACCCTTGATAGGAAACTATTTGCCATGTCGCATAAGAGCCGTAGTGAAAATCATAACATTTGCATATTTAATTTTAACTTTTAACTTGCATAGCTTCTAAATTGGATTTCAGTAATGGTAAGTTTAACAGTTGAAATATTTAACAAAGTGATGCTAAAGGTATGTTGCTAGCCTGGTAGTTAGCGTCTTGCACTTTGGTGGGAGGGAGACATATCCAAAATTCCATCATATCCACACAAAGTTTTAGGGGGTTGGAACTCTTTTTCTTCAAAAGTTTATGATTTTTCCTTAAAGATATCACTGGTATTACCGCTAACTAATAACAGGAAAAGGGCTTATTACTGACTATTATTATATGCTTGATCTTATCATGCCAAATTGATTCATTCTCTTGGTGAAAACAGATGGAAATAAAAAGATTTTGTATTGTTATACAAGGACAAATAAATATACCGGTACTGCCAGAAGTAAGCATGTCTAACTGCTGGTACGGACAATCAGGAAAAAATCTAAAAGGGAACTTAAACAATTTTAGCAACCATCATAAATGATTCAACTCTATCGTCTTTTCCCTCTGCATATTAGCTGATTTTGGGAATTAAAAATTAGGAGGGTAAACTAATTGAAGCTATAGAGGGAGGCTAATGAATAACACTAATATCCGCACATGTGTTTGTTACAGTGTTGGCTTACGAGAGACAGCTGTCGCCCTCCAGCATAGACACTGACCTGAGCTCCATTCCTACTCTCAGCAGTGTCGCACCTAACACAGACTACTCAGCTCTCCCCCCTCCCTCTCAGCCACCAACTGATCAAGGTAATACTACGGGGCGCAACACCATCTTTTGGATTAAGGGTGCGCTTTACCTCAGCTCGGACTTCAGTAGCTATGTTTCACCATTGGACAGCGCTGCGAGAAGCGCTTGCAGACGTTTCCAATATTACTGTTTTAGAATTAACAAATAATGATAGCTACGCACTCTAAACGGCTTATATAGTATAATAGTATAATATAATAAGTAGTACAAAGACCAATCTATAGTTCTGCGTTTTTCAAATGTTCAAAAAACGTTTTTTTGATAAGTTAAGGTTAGTTGAAAAGATCCTTTTTTCTTGTACTACAACTCAAGTTTATAAGGTGTGTATTTAAAATAATTGAAATATAGAAACTAAGAACTATAGACAATTTCATCCTCTTTAATATGAGACCTTAACTTTGATTCTACCTTCAATGTAGCAGGTGAAAACAGAAGTCTTGTAAACCCTTGCATTCGGTTGCGCGTCAGGGGTAAAGCGCGCCCTTAAGTGTATCACTGCTTTTGGATTGATCACAATACATCGGTTACTTTACTTATGTAAAATTGACTACTCAAATCACCCAACTGAGTCAAATTGTTCATCCCTTCAAAATTAAATACAATGAGAGTAGTTAAGATACATAATAAAAAACTTATTAAAATTAAATTATGAACAAACTAACAAAACCTGGAAAATCAAAAAAATAAAGTTATTGCTTCCGATAGCAATAATTAATTGCTGAGTCTACATAGACCTCAGTGGTTTAGGCGTTTACTTGAGTTGTTAAAAACTTATGATTTTCTTCATATTTCTGAGCCGTATTATTTATAAAAAATACCCCCGCCGCAGCAAACCTGCAGACTAAGCGAATTTCCATTAACCTGATTGGATTTACACTAAAATGCCTCCATACAAATAGCACATTTATTTCCTATTTAAATAGAATTAGTTTAACGAGTACTTAGGTTTGCTGCAACAGGGAGGGTAAAAAGATTTTTTTTTTTAATGATAATAGTTTAGTAAGAAATAAAAGTATTTTCCAAAATCGATCAAAATATGTTCATAAACAAGCAAACTACAACAGTTGACTTATTCTCCATCAGAATAACATGGGAATTTTAAAATTACAATTTTTTTGAATTTTCTCCGTAACAATTAGGCACATAATAACGCTTCAATATACTAAATTATTTGTTTTTTTAAGCTCTACAAAATGGTTTAAAAAGAAATTGTGAAATTTTGTGTTTTTAGGGTCAAAAATGGGAAAAACCTATTTTTACCCCATAAAACCCCCCATAAACCCCCGTTCCCATAGTCCGATCATGCTGGTTCGCAAACTCATTCAAGTTTATCACGCCTTACACCTTCAAACCAAATTTTATCAAAATCGGACAAAAATTACTCAAGTTATCGTGCGGATGGACACACATATATATATATATATATATATATATATATCTATATAAAAATTTGAACGAATGGTGTTTTTGGCCTCTGGGGACATCAAAATAAAAAAGTAAATCGGTCCCGGGCTTAGGTCTTACCATGAGACCTACGGTAATAGCTACTTCCCTATAGGGAAATTCGCTAATAAGAATAGATTTAAATACAACACTAGATGTTGAACGGAAAAGCTAATAGAAAAATGTTGGTTGTAAGAGATTGTAAAGTCCTTGTCAGTTCAGTGCTGTAAAACAACTAGTTTCAACTAAATTCTATCTTTGACTATTGATACAACTAGACATTTCATCCCCATGTTAAAGTTGTCTCCAGGTTTTTAAATTAAAACGGTTATAATTGTTGTGAGCCCCTGACAGATTGTGCTTATGTAAAATACTAATTTCTGTCGAATACACAACATTCTTTACTAAGCTCTTCACCAAAATTCTTTAAAACTGATGGAACAGAGTTGTTTGCTGTTAGCAACAAAAAAGAATGAGAATAATGTAGGAGAAATTTAGATACTTGCACATTCTGTAACTGGGTTACAACTATGTACTTAATACTTTTTAAAAATACCACGTTTTTAAACACAATAAAAAGTAGAAAATAATTTATAAATATGTGGAGAGAATAAATACTTGTAAGATTTAAAACAAAAAACGTGGGGCACACCCAATAGCTAATTTACAATTACCTTCACCTATTGAACTATTATTATCTATGTTTTTCGTTTGAAATCTTACAAGTATTTATTCTCTCCACATATTTATCGATTATTTTCTCCTTTTTAGTAGGCCTATATTTAAAAAGTGGTATTTTTAAAAGGTATTTTTATTTATAAAAATTATTATTTTCTACTTTTTAGTCTTTAATGTGTAAATAAATCTACTCTATATGGTCTGTTAATACATAACCGAAACCTTATTATCTGTAATCAGATGTTTTATCTTTCTTTACATTGAAATGTTTGTTTTATTAGAATCTCTTGGGAGCAAAACCTGTACTTCTTAACCTCTGCTCTTCGAACTGTCAAATTTAAGTATTTACAGCTGACTTCAATAGATATATTTGACTATTTACATTCTTCCAAATTGTAAACATTGAAACTTTGGAAGCCCATGGGGCGTATCCCAAAGGAAATATAAAAATAAAATGATTTAATATTGCATTGAAGGGTATCCATTTATCCATTCGTGGGTTATGTTTCAAGTTTCAAGTCTCTAGCTCATCGGGAAGTTAGTGTAAAATCAATTGGAAAATTTTTACCGGACAAGAAAGCGAGCTAATAAAAACGAGCCCATGGGGCGTATCCCAAAGGAAATATAAAAATAACCTGATTTAATACAGCATTGTCCTTCATTTGTGGGCTATGTTTCAAGTTACAAGTCTCTAGCTCATCGGGAAGTTAGTGTAAAATCAATTGCAAAATTTGTACTAGACACGAAAGCAAACTAATAAACACGTTTTAAAAATTGGAAACAGCTGGTCCATATAGGTCTACTTCAGTGTCCAATAGTCAAAGGTTCTATTCAATTTCAAAGAGCAATTAAACTCCCAAATCAATAACAAAGTTTTTCTATAGGTAAGCTGCCAGAAGCTCACAGTGGGATGGGTTCATCATCTTCCAGCAGCTCAGTTCTGCAAGACACAACGGCCTCGGCGTCTGCTCAGTTACTCAACCCTCACCACTACCTGGGTCTGGTGTCCGACGTCAACTGTCAGGTTAGCCATAGTAAACACTAAATCTGATGAGTTTCGGAACTGAGAAACAGGAACCTTTTTTAGGATGTTGTTAGGATGTTGTTTAACAAATTAGTTTCTAGATTAATCGAAAACTTTGATTCACCTAACCTATTAAATTAATGAATCATTTCAGGAAAATGGAGGTATTAAACCTGGACTTTGTGGAATCACCTTGGGAACAAGAAAAAATCCTCAAGACTTCTGCTTCCTGTCTTGGAACTGGCCTTTGATACGCAAGTGTTGCTTCTGGGGGCTTATGTCACTGACAGTTGCCTGCGTTTGTGTGATTATTGGATACATTACCACACTCCCCACCAGGTGTGACCCTCCTAGGGCTTGGTACCAAGGTTCTCTAATCTATGAGATCTTCCCTGGCTCCTTCCATGACAGTGACGACGATGGAGTAGGCGACTTGCGAGGCATCAGCTCAAAAGTCCACTACATAGAGTCAATGGGAGTGAGAGGCATCCGCCTGAACTCGATATTTCCCTCAAACCACTACCCAGAACACTATTACGACGTTGAAAACCTCACCCAAATAGAACCGACTTTAGGCAGTTTCACAGATTTTGGACTGTTGGTGAAAACATTTCACAAAATGAACATATCAATCATCCTAGACCTTCCTTTAGGATCGTTTTTCAAACATCTAGAAGAAAATGCCAAATACAGTTCTGGCCCTCCACACCACATGATCATTAACAATCACATCCTCAACAGTTCAAATAAAACTGCTTACTCCATCCCAGACTCTCACGGAGTCGTGTCTGAGATCCTCAAGTTCTGGTTAAATCTCGATGTAGACGGCTTCTACTTGAAGGACTTGGAAAATTTTGTTCACGATGACAAATTTCAGTCTCACGTTCAAGAGTGGAAAGCGGTTTTGAAAAGGCACAATGGAGGAAATGGTTTGCCAGCATCAAATGACAAGATTTTGATTTGTTCTGAGAAAGTGGTTAAGACGTTGGAGAACAGCCAGATTCTGAGCTCAAAGTTAACGACAGTGTTGACTCACTTTGACCTTGTCGACCATCACATCAACATGAGATCTGACCTGAAGCAGCAGATTGACACAGTACAAGGAGGAGTGATGTTCAGTCGTCCTGGGTATCCGTGGCCTCTGTGGAGCCTGGGCGGCGTAGACTCCCCCAGACTGGCATCTCGACTACAGATAGCCAACGCGTCTCTAGCCGCCGTGCTGGTGGGGATGCTGCTGCCAGGCACACCCTCCATCTTCTACGGTGATGAGATCGGCCTCACCAACTCAAAATCCGACAGTGATGTAAGTTGAAGCACCCCTGTATGTGTCATGTTTCTAGAATTAATTATAGTTCAAAACTCAAAAAAGACAAAACATAACAATAACAAATTAAAATAATTTGATTGTTTTCCTTAATTTTACAATAATTTTTATTAGATGGCCAACCAAAAATCAAAGTCTTATTCCTAAATTTACTAGGACTCCTAAAATCAATAATGATTTAAAAAGTTTTTGAGAATGAGAACCCAAGTTCTTACTAAGATACAAGAAGCAACCAACTATCCTAGTTTCCCCACATGGTCTATATTTTTCCATCGCAATGAAAAGTAGGCACCATGTACAATTTGTACCAAAAGTGTTCTCCCTGCACTTATTAAAATTAATTATACATCATTTTAAATAGGAGCACTCAGAAAATCCTATTTCAAATATTTGTAGGGAAATATAGTACGGTTCAAAATTAGAAGAAAGTATGATGAAGTGTATTTTTCAACAATGTTCTCACTTGTAGTATGAAGACGTGAGCCATGTTCAGCAGCTGGTCATGATGAGATGGCAGATGCATCAACACCTGCGTACGCTGCACTGGCTACCTGCTGGAGATGCACATCTACCGCTCGACTCTGCACGATGGGTCTCGGAGACAGCTGTCCTACGAGACTTGTCTCCCGCCATCTACATGCATGCAATCTGGAGGGAAGGGAGTCTAGTGCCCAACTGTGCTATTAAGTGAGTATCATCATTAACGTTACCAATTGCGATATGGATGCCACCTAGGTGTGTATATGAAGGATGAGAGTAGATTAGTGTGGGATGCCTTGTGTAGCTTTGTTACTGCCTTAAGACCAGCTATTTTACTAGCAAGGAATATTTATCAAAAGTCCAATGATCAAGGATAGCAGGGTCCCGTTTTTTTACTAGCCAATGTAGAGAAGTGAGCCAATTAGTGTAAGGTCGGATTTAACCCCTTGAAATTCATTTTATAACCTTGTCATTTTAAAACCTGTATACAAACAGAAACAGCATACTTAACACTAATACCAAAACCCTACTTTGGCTGACGTTAACCGAAATCCCCGGTCTGTGAGACCCCATTTGAAAAATAATGGACCCACTTAGAAACACACAAACCGAAACCATAGATAAAACATACTCCCTTAGTAGATTTGTCATCCTTATAGAACAGCTGAAGCCAATTTTATTGTAGGTTCTGTACGTCCAACTGTAGAGGTTGTGTTTTGTTTACAATTTGTTTCTTGTTATTTCAGTAATTTAAAAGCTCATTTAACCAAATATAATGATACTAGCTGTACCCGCGGGCTTTGCCCCGTTTCGTGAGCTCGTTCGCATGGCTCAATCACGTCCTGGTTGAAGTTCGTTCGCTACGCTCACTCATCTTTAGGTTGGAGCTCGTTCGCTGCGCTCACTTGCCTTCAGGTTAGCTCGTTCGCTACGCTAACTCGCCTCCAGGTTGAAGTTCGTTCGCTACGCTCACTCACCTTTTGGTTGCAAATTAGCTGTTGTCATAAATTAAAAAAAATAATAATAGTGCTGCACCCTGTTGGTAATCCTTGTAACTTTAATGCTATTGCACATCATAGAACAGAACCAACTTGTTTATTGAAACAGCTGTTTAGATTCATTAATTCCATTTAAATATGAGTACTCATAAGGTTAACATGGGAAACTCCAGAGCCACTAGGGCGGAGCCCGAGAGTCCGATCAGAATAAAAACAACTTAATTTTCCTATTTAATGCCTAAAGAATCACTGTACCAAATTTCAGCCTCCTAGGTAAATGGGAAGTGGGAGAATTAGTGATGAGTGAGTGAGTGAGTGAGTGAGTGAGTGAGTCAGTCAGTGAGGGCTTTGCCTTTTATATATATAGATAATCATAAACAATAATTGGTCTCCTAGTTATATAGGCCTAACCAAATAGTAAAGCACAAATCATGAAAATAACCCTAAAATAACAGAAACAACATTTCGTCTACACCAGCGATAAGTGTGGACGTACATGAACTAGACATGAAAAACAAGCTTCAAAATTTACAATGGGATGAGGAGTCTACTTGTGTTGCTTAGTCTATGCCGAAACCCTCGGCCTGTGAGACCCTGCTTTAGAATACACTAACGCTGTGCTTCTGAGACGGGCATGTTATGAACAGACAACCTGTCAAGGTCAAGGCACCCATGCAAAATGAACAAACAATATATCAATAGGTAGGGGAGGAAAAGGGGGGAAGGTATTGGGGGAATGGAATTACCCAAGTAAACAGTGTTGCCAACATGCGTTTCTGAAAAATTTCCCGTGGGCCTGTCAGACCGGGGTTTCGATATTAGTGTTAACTTCAAATTTTATTGGGACTTGTCTGAAATACTTTGAGTAAGTCTGTTAGAGAAAAAATTTAAACCCTTTACTAATTTTCTAGATATTTCCTTCACAACAGTTAATTCTTAAGCTATGTAGGGAATAACATTATCTATTAAAACGAAACAGTGTTTTTTTATTTCACGATTCTGAATCAACCACTCGACGGATTTTCATGATTTTTGTGTTGAAAGAAAGATAATTTTGAGAACTAGGGAATGTTGAAGCCATAATTTTAGTTTAGGGTCTCAGTTTTTCAGAAATTAAGTTTTAATTTTTAAAAAGTCTAGCAGCCGACGCTAAGATTCTAAACAAACGTTAGCTTTTGGCATAAAACAATTTGCTTAACATAACAGCTGTAAAAATTCAGCTTTTGTGTCACTAATTCAGCATTTGGATAAAAATGTAAAGACATACTTAGGGTTGACTTATTTATACTATGTGTAATGCTAATTATTGATACGTTCAATTCATCTGTAAGAAGATGACAGATTAATTAAATATACATAGTAAAATACTAGGATGTTTAAATTATTTTTTAAAGCAATCTTTGTAATCTTCGATTTGTTTTAGAGCTATATAATTTGTTTTAACTAACAGCTGGTTAAATATAAACTATGGAACTATGAGGTTATTTTATTTTGTCTTATTTTGTCATTGATTATAGGAAGTAAGATTAGTAGAGATAATTAGACCACAGTTTAAAATAGTTTAGACCAAAATTAATTGAACCACAGTACAAATCGAGGCTCTGTACACGAGTCTTAATAAAAGAGGATAAATGCAAATTATTTTACTGCTCCACTTTTCAAGGAAAGAATAGAAAAATAACAATGTTTACATGTTTTAATTCTTCATGGTAGCTTTTTGTTTACAATTAATGTTTGTCTGCTTTAACTTTGTTTGGATTATGCCCGGAAATATTGATGTCATAAAAAGAAGATCAAGAATCACGATTTTAAATTACCACCACAACCTCAGCCGGGTTTTATACAAAGATAAACAGATGGATGACATAGATTGAACACGACGTCAACGTTTTGTTCACTAATTTACTTATTTATTGTACTAGGATACTGCAATTAGACAAACCATCCTTTTATGAAATCGTGTTCAGTTGTGGTTACGTTTGGGGGTGCCTATATCAGCGCCCCCAAACGTGAAAATATCACTTTTATTTAGACTATGAATATATTGTAGTTTAAATTAACTAATATGGGAAATTACGATGTACATTTATTCAATGAGGGTGGGTAATTATCAAGGATAGAACTGATAACGGTATGGATAATAAACATTGACAATTACGTCATTAGCTTTACTACGGTAGCGTGTTTACTTTTTATATTCCTGCTACATGTTCTTTTTTTCAAATGAATGTTATTTGAACCAAACAGCTGTTTCAAAACAAACTGTTATTGTTTTTACTTTTCTTTGTTTACACTTATTTATTTAGCAATTAATGCAGTGAAATTGATATAAATAAGGATAGGTGTGACGATTAGTTTTGATGTTAGGACACCAAAGTTAAATTATGTGTACTGTGAATTTTATTGGATATTAGGGTGAAAATTTAAAAACGTACGTTTTCAGGAAAAACACTTTGCACATTTTTTCCCCTTTTTTCAAAACCTTTATTATTTTTTTAATTTCATTTACATTTGAAGTTTCATAAAATATCCATGGTAACGCAATATCTTTGGTAGTTTTTTTTTTAAAGAGAATCTTTAGTGGAAAAACACAAAATCCTGTCACGACCATAACAGACGTTTAAATTAATATTAAAAATAGTTAATATTATTTTTATAACTATGTTTTGCTATAAACTAATTTACTTTTATGACCATTATACAATAAAAAGGTCACTGAGCGTTTGGTATATTTGGTCTTTCTAGAAAAAAATAAAAAAAACTCAAAAAATTTAAAAAAGCCAATAAAATCTTTTTAAGTTTGTATAACTCCGAAAAAACTTACCTGAGACCCGAAAAATCGTTATGTTTGTATAGAGGTGTGCTTCTTTTGTGTATAAAACATTGAAATATGACGATATTTTAATTTTTGAAATTTTTGTGATAGAAATCATAAACGTGATGGTCAGGGACATGCGGTACGGTCGTGAATTTTCTGAAATAATCTAAATCTTTCTAAACAATTCTTCAATTATACTGTTAGTTATAATAAAAATATGTGTTTCAATTTAACTAAACTGTTCAATTTACAATTATATTAAAGTTATTGTCACGACCAAACACACTATAATCCATAAGGCTGGATTGGTCGTGAAAAAACCCGCGAAGGTCGTGAAACTTTGGTCGTGAAATTACGTGTTATTTGGCTCTGTTCTGGCGGTAGCCCTGCACCTCATGTTCGAGGATACAAAGTGGACTTCTAGGTTAATCTAGCAATTGAAATATCTTACAAACAAAAATTAACACCATGTCTACTTCATCGAATGACTACGTACGGTCATGGACACACCAAAATTACAAAAAACACAATCTTTCCTTTATTAATCTTGTAATTCCTCCTTTCAACTCGAAATGACCGGCACTACAATCCTGACGTACACCCCGAACTAGTCTCTAAAACCAACTGACTCCATCGACGCCAGACTTGCCACTGTCGTGCTCCAAAGTTGAACATTTTTCCCAAATGGTCGTGACGCCAAATCGAGGGACAGACTTATTTTGTCATGGTAGTCAGTTTGCAATGACAATAAAATTATATGCTCCTTTTTTGTAAGTTTAATAACCATTGATGACATAAAAATATGGCTTTATATATTTCGGCATGAATAATTAGTCTAAAAACAGCGTGAAAGTTGGAAAATGTACCCTAGGGACACGTCATGGTCGTGAATTTCGAGACTTTAAAAATACGAAAAAAATACCTAGAACCTATTTAAAACCAAATAAATGTGTGTAACATGTTGCCCCCGTCCCAAAAAATATTAAAACACATAATAATAAACTACAAATCCAGTATCTACGAAGTAAAAGGCCAGGGAGGGACATTAAATTTTCACTCATTACTCTTTTATTTTAGGTCGTTTCTATTCAGACCTACTGGAAATTGTGTATAGTAGTTTTATTATGGTGATAATAATTATGGAAGAGGCAGGTATGCTATGGAAGGTGATATCGTTGACTAGGTCTATACACTTCTCAATTGACTATTACCATTGACTATTGGATACAGAAGTTGTATAAGATAAAGAAGTGTTGTATTAAATAGTCAAAGCTATTACTCTCTCTACTGTAGGCTACTTATAATCAGTGTGCGTCCGTGCGAATCGGCTGCAAATCTCACTTCAACGCTTTTCACATCGTAAAAATTGCAGAATTTTGCTGTTTTATTGTAAAATTATCGGATTTAAAATGCATATCTTATAGGCCTATAATGGAATAAAAACATATTTGGTCACACAACATTTGTTTAAAGATGATTTTTCACATTAAAACTGCAAGAAACTTTGTCTTTATATGTGTAAACTAGCTGATCTGAATTGTACAAGGTTTTAACTGACTACTGAATTCCTGTACGTAGGACGGGCTAACACCTCTTATAATATAATAGCATGAGTATATTTGCTCAACTCTTCTTCCTCCACCGTTCCCTGTACACTTTCTACATTAAACTTTGTTGAATTTTAATTATTTACATGATGCCAAAAGATTTAGTTTATTGTAGTTATGAGTTGTAATGACAAAACCCACACAATTACAGGAAAAGAATGTGAAAAGTTTGTGTTGAAATATACATTCAGAAGTTAGTTATGAATAGACGGGTAATTTGTACTTTGTTGTTTTCACAGGTATGTTGACAAGACATTGATTGTCTTAGAGCGATTGTATCCTCGACGCAACTCCTATGTCATTGTAGCAAACCTCGGACGAGAGACTGAAACACGAGATCTGTCCAAGCTCTTCTACGGCGGCCATGTTGTACTCTCAACTGGAGAACATACTGGCAAATATCTCACTTTCCACAAGTTGGCTTTGTACCCCGGCGAAGCTATTGTTGTCAAACTTGACAAATAACTTGACGGGGCTGAGTTTATGTATTAGAAAACCAATTTTATTCAACAAATAATGGTTATTATTAAGAAAAAATTTTTTAAGTTTTTGTTTCTAATTATGTAAACGATGGATTAGTTTGTCTACCTAGGTACTTTTACAGTTTTTTTTCATATTTTATGAAATAAGTGTCATATTATCTTTAACTCTATTCACAAAATTTAGGCGGTTTTAGGGGAAGAAATCTATCCCCTCCTCGTCTTTATCCTACCATTAAAACATAACTCAATAGCTGAGATTTGTCAGTTAATGTCTGCTGCAGCATACATTAACCCTTTGAGTGCCAACGTCCGGGGAACCGGACGTTTTTAAAACGAGCCAAAAGTGCCGACGTCCGGCCGACCGGACGTTTTTAGAACGAGCCAAAAGTGCCAACGTCCGGCTGACCGGACGTTTCGTAATGATCGAACAGTTGTCATAACAACCGAATGGATACTGGGATTCTTTTAACCCATATATTAACATTGAGTCGAAAGTTACTAGATGCGATACAAAGATTTTCGTTGGTCGAAATATCGAAAATTCGATTTTTACAAAATTTTAACCTAAAAATCGCCAGATCCCGCTCGGCATTTTTAGCGCGACCTTCGGGAAAAATCATCGGCATTTTTTGAGCGTTACTTTTATTTCTCGCCTGGCACTCTAAGGGTTAAGCAGAAAAAATTTGTGGGGAGCTTCCCCTCAAACTGCCTAAATTTTGTGAACGGACTACAGTTATAAACTTATTACCTCCTCTATGTTGAAGCAGATGTCAAATAAGGGTTTCCATCTATTTTTTATCATTTAAGATCGAAGTTGTAAGTGAAGATGTTGTTGAGTTACTCATGATAATTGGACGTTGGAGTTAAAAGGGTTAAATTTAAATCATAAAAATACTTTCTAGCACAGCACTCAGCACAAAAGACACAATGTTTGTTTAGAGTAACAAAAAAATAGTTTTAACGTTTGTTACTTTAAGTTTCCAATTTTTGTTGTAAACTAGTTTATTTCACAAAACAGTATTTTTCTTAGGAATCAAGAAGTTACAAATGTTTCACCTGATAAGACTGAGAGATTTAAAGGCAAGTTTGAAAATTAAAACTAGTCTTAAAAGCCAAAAAATATTTTTGCAGGTAATTTAATTTAGTGTACTTATAATTTACTTATATTGTTGATATAGGAATATTTTGTTTCTTAGGAAATGTTGTTAACAAGTTTTAATAAATCACATGATAATACTCTTTGTGTCCATAGTAATTTACATGTTATATATATTTTCCTGATGATGTACAGCACATTATGAAACAATTAAGTATTACTGACAAAATGATATTGAATCATGAAGTGCTTGCCAGCCTTACCAGTGTGGCCGTAGAGGACAGTGTCATTGGGTTAAATAACACCCAACACACAAAGAAAACTAAAAACAATTTAAAAAATGAGAGTCATCAAGCTGGAAGAGTGCATTTTACTCGAGATTTGAGCTAATTCACTTTTATGTGTGTACATTCGGCTTCAAGAAAACATCATAGATATTACATCTAAATCATAAATACCACTAGATAGATACATCACAGAAAAATATCATACATACTGTTGACCTGCAACTGTTCAGAGATTTTGAGGTTTATTTGAAGGTTATTCAGATAACAAGCAAATGTTTAACTACAGTGATATGTGGTAGATCAATTAAAAGCAGATTCAAAAAAAATATTTTTTCAATGCATCAGAAGTACACTTAGGTTGTTATAGGACATTTAATATTACTTTAAGACGTCTAATACTTGTTGACTGACTGTAAGTACCATTTTTGAAAATCGGGTTTTATGATTTTATGAACATGAAATTCCCTAATTTTTCTCTAAACTATTTTGAAGATCTTAATCAAACAAATTATTTAGTGAATTGAAGTGTTTTTATAAGGTTATATTGGTTACGGAGAAAATTCAAAACATTGTAAACAGTTTTTGTTTACTTAAAACTCCTATGTTATTATTACGGAGAGAACATAAACTGTTGTAGTTTACTTATTTATGATTTTATTTAAATGAAACACGGCAAATTTATTTATTTTAAACTTAGCTATAAATATATTAATAAAAACTCACTTTATTACTCTCCCTGTAGCAGCAACCCTAGGTACTTGTGAAACCTAATGTTATTGAAATTGATTTAATTGAAAATCATATCAGGGAAATGTAAACTCACTTAATCTGCAGGTTTGCTGTGGTGGGGGTATTTTGCCTATTCCATGAAATGCAGAGACGGTAGTGCAACCTTTGATTGCAAGGAAAGTGAATAGGTTGCTGCAGATCTCTGGAGGGAGTTGAAAACACAAAACACTGAAAGATTTTTAAAAAATTTTAGTTTTAAACGGCCACCATTTTGAAAAGACTTGATCAAACTCGACCATTGACAACCTAGGCCGAGATAATGTATTCAAGCACTTGTGTGCAAAATTTCATAAAAATTGGTTCAGGCATTCGGTCATTATAGCCAATTCATGGCAACCCAGCATCCTCTTACGGCCGCCATCTTAACGACGTCATTACAGACGACCGAGGTCCTTAAAAATTGGGGTCTGGGTGGTTTTAGGTTCAGAAACTTGTATACCACCTACTTGTATACCAGAAAATAAATAACCACCTAAAATTGCAGCCTCCCCGCCAGAACTGAAATATTCTGCCACTATATGCAACTATACAACCCCACTATTGATAATGATACTGTATCATGGATGTTAGCCCATACAAATACAATATGTATCTGGAAAATATTATGTTTTAGAGAACTTTGAATTCTATAGGGAAGTAGTTATTACCATAAGTGGCACGCTACCTTATCACGAGGGGGGAGGGGCGATCTTACAGATGTATTTTGATCAAATTTGGCAAATTATTTATTTCACTCTATACTTACGGGTTTCATTTTGTAAAAATAAACACTTGTACTTTCCCCGTAGTTGCAAACCTAGGTACAGTAGAACCTCTTTACTCTGAACTAATTGGGACCAGGGGTAATTCGGACTACCTATTGAATAGTTTGGATTACAGAATATATTGTTGTTTTTACATGACAAAAGCTAAAACGTGGCTAAAATGGATCGTAATTGCTACAGGAAAAGTGAAAAATTCTTTGTAAAGTTAAATACAGACGTTATTTTATACAGTAGTAAACATAGTGAATAAATAATAAAGAGCACTGTACATTACAATTTAAACAATTACTATGCGTATATCAATAAATACAGTAAACAATATAGAACTACTGTACTGCGTATAGAGTACAGCAATGAGGCGTTCGGATTAAGGGGACGTTTGGATTACAAGGGTTTGGATTAAAGAAGTTCTACTGTACTTGTTAAAGCTAACGAAATTTTAAAGGGGAATAAATATGTCTTGTTTATGGAAATATTTTATGCTAACATCAGACAAATTGAAATTTGCTTAGTCTGCAGGATTGCTGAAGCAGGAGTATTTGTTCCTTAGGTCGAGATAATAAGAACATCATAATATGGTCCGATGGTCTAAAATACCTGGCTTCTGTGGCTACATAGTTTTGCCATTAATATGAATCTGCTACTTACTGTCTCAACTGTACTTATTTGAATGTAAAAATTATCATATGATCAGCTGACAGTTTTGGACTGTTTGTTAATGATATTTGATTTTATTGTAGTTCTTTCTTAATACAAAAGTGTTTCAATGTTATAATCTCTACTTTTATAACTTATTTTGTGTTAGTTTATTTAGATAAGGCACAAGCCTTTGTCTATCTATTTGATTTTCACAAATGTATCCATAACATAGTTTTGGACCGCCATTGTCTTCAAACTTAGTTCATTACGTTAGTGTTGACATAAGACTAAATCCATCCACAAAGTATAATTTTTCTTATCTCTACCAATTCAAAATGGCAGCAATTTTATATTTTGAAACCGACTAAATGGTTTTTCATGTCATTTGGCATTATTCACGTTTTTTTTTTAAAAACAGCATCAGGTCCCCCTAGGGATCAAATGTTTGATTTGAAGACAAACAAACCCTCCAGTACATTTGTTTGGATTTGTGTAATTGTTGAAAAAGAATGGAAGTCCTTTCATGAAAACTTAAATCATGATTCATGATTACGTGATTGAAATGTTGATTTAGTATTAGGTCATAAATCACTGTCTGCCATATTCTGACAGTTTTAATGGTAAGGGTTTTATTTAGGTACAGGGGAACTGTAGGTTACAACACACTGCTCAAGAGCTGCCATTACTGGCTCAGAGAGCTTCATGTCAACATGGTGCTGTGTTCCCTAGTCTGGCTGTGCATCTTTATAGTAAAACCAATTCTTGGGTAAGTCTGATCAACTATGTTTTTGTAAATGAGTACTTAATTGTTCGATCTTAGTACAAAGCAAAACTATAGGTTTTGGTAAAATTATTTAATCAGGAAAATTATTGTACATTTAAATTCTCCATTTCCTAAACATATTTAAGCTAAAATCACTTTATAAAATTTTTAGGATTACACAACATCCTTTCCTATGATTAAATAATTAATCAATAATTAATTAGTCAATAATTAAAAATTAATCCTAGACATAACTGTTCTAAAAACTAAAAAAATGGGTAATTTTACACAACATTTTCAAGATATGTTAATCTATACCTATAAAATCTTAAACCAAAATTGTCTGATGGATGACAACTTTTCACAAAGTTCCCCACATAGCCTACCTTAGCTGCCTATACGAAAATTCAAATTTTAAAAGTTATTTTCTTAAATTATTATTTATGAGATAAAAAGCATACCTAAATGTTTCACACTAAATTCCCTGGCATCAAACCACAAGCTTTACACAAAAAACTGGATTTTTGAAGTACACAGCACAACATATTTTCTACATTGATATTGTTTGGCCTTGAACTTAAGACTTGTAAAGTGATACAACAATTTCTTATCTCATGTCAACAATTTATAACAAGTTTGAGGTTAACTTTCCAAATTTAAAGGTTTACATAATTAATGTAAAAAAATATGATGAGGACTATGCAAAACCAAATTATACATTTATATACATAATTTACCTCCAGGATTGATCTATTGACATAAAATGAGGTTACTAACCTGTTGTCAATCAGTCTTCTATTGTCTTGGATGACTATAGTTTTGGGCTTAAAACCCCATTTTCAAATCTTATCTTCAGTCGTCAAATGTCAAACATATTCTCTTGCATAAGCCGTCAAAATTACTTCACACAAGTCTGGTTTTGTCCTTGGCCGGCCTCACGCGCATGTACATGATTTGTAATTATACATGTTTTCGTGTGTGTTTATGTGAAGTAATTTTAACGACGGCTTATGCAAATGTTCAAAGTCGAAGTTCATAAAAACCATCCAGTACAGCTGCATAAAATGTATACAACTTATTACTTAAATTACGTTTAAAGCACTCAGGCCTACCATTTCAAAATCCAATGACTCTTTGATTGTAAAAATCGGTTGAGAGAAAAAAAGTTATGACAACATTTAAAAGGTAATCAAAATTTCAAAATGGCAGCCATTTTATACTTACCTTCCTTTCTACTCTTAAAACTTAAAGTGATTGCACCTTTGTTGTTAAAGATGTCTTCGGAATTGCAATCTGTAGTTGTTATAATTGAATCTAGTAACTCTTCATATAAAATATGATATGATTTAAATTTTGTTAAATGTCCGCTTTTTTAAGGATGAATTTATAACAATTACCCAAGCTAAATCAAAATGAAAAAGGATATCAGTCCCGGGTCTAGGTCTTACCGTGCCACCTATGGTAATAGCTACTTTCCTATAAGGAAATTCACTAATAAACAACAAAGATAGGCTTTGCCTATGCTATATTGCCCTGTCAATTTATTATCTGTATCAGTGCCTTATCAATGTATAGTAGGTACCATCAGGGGACGAACCTGAGCCTTGCCCTAGTGCAATTGATTAATTGGGTGTAATAATTAAACAAAATGCAGAGTATTCAAAAAATGTGGGGACATAATTTATTCGACACACATATATACTATATACAGTATAAATATACTAGCAGTTAATCACCGCCTCTTTAATATACCTAAAGGTCGCCCAGTTAATACTCGTTTAGTCACCAATTCATATACTGAATCTGGGTGGTAATTGACTGTTATGTTGTTGTTGGGTTTTACTAAAAGATACACTAGGGCCCTAAATGACTTATTGCATTTATTGTCCGTATAGTAACAGTTATTAAGGATTAAATCCTTTAATTGTTTCATAAGCTAATTAAAAATATGGGACTAGGCCTACTGAAGCCAAACTAAGGGAGAACTTCTTAATTTGAAAAATTAATGGCCTTAAAAATTTATAAATAAAACACAAAACACAGCAAGGACATAAAATAGAACGACACTTTATCATAATGGTAACTGATCCCTTGTAACTGGGTCACTTTGGAAGTCTACTGCTGTCGCTGGGTCCTATCCGTTAAAAACTATCAGCACTAGCTATAAAATAGTTGTTGGTTAAATTTTGGACTACAGACAGATGTAAAATAGCCTAATTTGTTAAATAATGTTGTGTTGTTTTAGTTCAGCTGAGGAGAAGACAATAGTAATAAACACAAGTGCTGGGCCCATTGAGGGACTGCAAATCTTGTCTAATTGGTCAAAACAGATAATTTATTCCTTTAAAGGAATTCCATATGCAAGTCCACCATTGGGAGATTTGCGATTCAAGGTAATTTAAGCTATTTACTTACACTTAGATAATGGATTGATCTTTAGGTTAGATTGAATTGTATAATTTTTCAAGGGTTCAATTAGAATATTCAATCTAATCTTAGATTAAACCAAAGATTTATTATGTTATCGTTGGTTTGAATAATGGCTAACATTTGATAGTTTTCCTCATAGATCCAGAAAATTCCAACCATTTAAATATGTTTGTTTCTGTACTCATGACACCATATCCTGTAGGACAGCAATTCATGTAACTTTCGTAAGATGAAAAAAAATCTAGACCAGAATTCAAACTATCCTCTCAAAGAAAATGCCAACAGGATGGAAACACTTAAAAGTAATAAAATATTAATTAAAACATTTAAGCTGTCACTATGGCCAGATTGTAATTTTAATTCTTGTTTAACATTGAGTTAATGTTATTACCCCCTTTCACGATATAGTTAGTTTTGTTGACGTTGACATTAGTTACAGTTTGTATCACATTTCCTTTTAAGTAATTGGAACATATAATTGTGTACGTATGTCAAAAACGCCATCAAAAGGACTGATGATTCAAAAATATGTCCTGTATGCTAAATCTTGTAAATATTCCTATTTTTGAACAATAAATTAAAGTGGTATTAAGTTACCTACATGTTTGATTTTAAATAATTTTCTAGGACCCAATCCCACCTAAAAAATGGACTCAAGTCAGGGACGGCAAAGTGCATCGAGCGATTTGCCCCCAGATCTCAACTATTCCTGGAAGTGATACAATGTTAATGGATGAGGACTGTTTATTCTTGAATGTATACTCTCCGCAGGTCAGTGAAAATTGAATGAAATGTTACCGGTAACTGTGCAAATTTTACAAAAAAAAAAACATATTAGGAACTCACATATAAGAAACTTGTTATACGAGATGTCCAGTTCAGCCAACATATAATTGATAAGAATAACCATAATTCGGAATAATAGAAGACTGTCTCGAAGTACTTCACATAAGTGACAAAGGCAGAAAATTGGACACGTTGGAAGAGTATGAAATTTACAGAAAAACTCACAAGAATACTGATACAAGTGAAGTTTTTTCTTAAAAACACAATTTCAGCTCTATCTCAAATTTAATTTTCTTTTCGCATTCCCATCAAAGAAACAGCCGTCCACTGCAATTGTTATAACACCGATAATCCTGGATAAGGAAAAACAGTCAGGCTTTTCAATTTGAGGTCCCCAGAGGCCAAAAACACCATCCGTTCAAATATATATATGTCCGTTAGTGTGATAACTTGAGCAAAAATCATCCGATTTTGATGAAATTTGGTACAAACGTGTAAACCTACGTTTATTTAAACAATTTCGTGAACCAGCATAATCGGACTATGGGAACGGTGGTTTATGGGGGGTTTTATGGGGTAAAAAATAGATTTTTTTCCATTTTGACGCTAAAAACACAAAATTTCATAATTTCTCTCTAAACCATTTTGTAGAGCTTAAAAAAAGGCATAATTTTGTATATTGAAGCGATGTTGTATGCCCAACAGTTACAAAGATAATAAAAAAATTTTAAATTTAAAATTCCCATGTTATTCTTATGGAGAATAAATAAACTGTTGTAGTTTGCTTGTGTATGGATATATTTTAATCAAATTTGGGAATTTTGTTTCTTTCATAATAACCTATCAATATATATATATATATACATATATATATATATATATATATATATATAATTAATTAAAAAACACACTCACACACAGCTCAATATCTTCCCCATAGCATCAAACCTAAGTTGTCACTAAAATGAATGTTATTTAAATAGGAAATGAATCTGACATTTTTTAGGGAATATTTTAGTAGAAATCCAGTTGTGTAAATGGAAATTCGCTTAGGTATGCTGCGGGCGGGGTATTTATTTTGTTATATCTACATGCTGTGTTTGTGTTTTGTATACTTGAAAACTATGACAAAGAGGATAAAGCCATTTAGTGGAATATACTTCACCAGTACTCAGCTGAAGATGACACAGTAGTGTCGGATCATGTAATGAAACCACTATCCAGAATTTTGAGCTGTACGACTAAGTAATATGTCTTACAATAATCATCATCTCCTCGGTGCTTAACAATGAATTGTTATTGTTTATCCATATCAAACTTCATTTGTGTTGGTATCAAATGATTGACCATCAATAATATAAAAGTAAAGTATTAAAAATTAAAAGTAAAAGGTATTGCATGATTTTTACTGTAACTCACTGTTTAAAGACAGATCTTGCATAACCGCAATAATCACTCAATCGCACACCATAGTGATTAAGTGGATGATTCAGGATTAATAATGTGAACCTTATTCCTCCACCAAAAGTTCATCTGAGACCTGAAAAGCAAACCCCCTGCCTCCTCCTTAGCCCCTTGTATGTCAGCCACTATTCATTATTAACAGTATACATTATATAACATAGCTGCCTTCGCCAGAACGTAAACCTCTGCCAGTAATTGTATGGATTCACGGCGGATTTTTCACTCAAGGGTCTGGCAACTATGATTCTTATGGTCCAGATTTGCTGATAGCTGAAGGAGTGGTTATGGTTACTCTCAACTACAGGCTAGGAGCTTTAGGTGTGTACCTACATCAAAAATATAAAGCATGTGTGGTGTATTGACTTACTGACTTGTATTTTAAGGAAAATCTATGCTGGGGATTTAGGAATTTTATTAAGGGTTAGAGTGTTTAGAGTTCAGCTAGCTTACCTGGGAAAAGCAGTGATGTCCAAAATATACGCTCTGAATCTTTGTTTTACTATACATGCCTAAATCTGTGTGATTGAGAGGGATATTATCTGAAACTGCTAAGCTAGAGTTGATTAAATCAACAGTCTTCCCCATAATTCACTATGCACTTCTACATCGTTTGGTGAATGTCTTACTCTTGATTGTAGAGTTCTTTATGAGGTTGAAAAACCGAGCCCTAAGGTTTGTTTTCAATCTGAGGAAGTTTTATCATATATCTGCCTATTGCAAACAGGCTAAGGTGCTCTCTTTGGAAAAAACAATATATTTACATACTGTTTCGATTGTTATAACAAGACACTGTCTTATAATTTGCCTCCCTATTTGAAAAGGAAACTTGTGCCTCGAACATCATATAGGAAACGCTGTACTAGGCAGGATGGCTTGCTTGAAATGCCGAGCGTGCGGTGTGAGACAGGTAAAAAGGGGTTCTCTTACTTTGGACCCCAGGCATACAATACCCCTCCGAAGAAACATGAAAAGTCTGTCATGTTATTCGTTTAAGGCCAAACTAAAGCTGGTTTAGTTTCACTTGCTGTTTGTACTGTTTGTATTTATTGTATAAAATGTATTGTTTATGACTTTGAGTTGTCTTTAAAACCAGTTTTGAATGAGGACCGCTTTAAATAAAGGATTTATTTATTTATTTGCAAGAACAAAAGCTACTTTGAAAAATTACCTCTAAAATACTCTCTCTAGAATTTGTATACTAGATTGAAATATCAGTATTATGCTTTATATTTATTTTTATGTTTTCCACAAGGCCCAAAATTAATTTTCCCATATAAGCTAGCTATAAACTCCATTTCTAAAACAAACAAAAAGCATATTATTAAAGTGATACAATCAAATTTTATGCAAACTGTTAAGGTCATTTACCAAATAAAAATATAGGCATATGGCACATCAAAATGAAGCTTAGGGTGTGTAGATTTGCCGAAAAGTATTGATATGGACGATTTTCCTAAGGGCTCTGCCCCACAGGCTGATTTCCAAAGGGCTAAGCCTGGCATGCTTCCAATGTATAAATGATTTGATTTAATTTAGTTAATGAAACTGCATGGCCTGTTTTTCTAATGAATATAGCTGATAAGATTTAAACAAATACTAAAAACAGGAGAGTATGGTTTACTTTTTATTTTTAAGCTTTTACCATACAGTTTATAAACATGCCTGTTAAAATAGTAGTTGTGTTTTCAGGGTTCCTCAACATGGGTGTAAATGATGCACCAGGCAATGCAGGGTTGAAGGACCAGAGATTTGCACTACTGTGGGTTCAGTCAGAGATACACAACTTTGGTGGAGACCCACATCAAGTCACAATCTTTGGGGAGAGTGCTGGAGCCGTATCTGTTCACTTACACTACCTTTCCCCGCTCTCTGTCGGTAAGTTATAAACCCTTTGAACTTCAGAGATTCATTGATTTAAGTATAGCCTACTGATTTCGTGTTCTTCCCTCCCCGTAAGAACCCATCAATATTTGTATAAAACGAGTTTTGGCAAAAAATCACAGTATAGACAAGTATAAAGTAGGGAAATGCCTGATTTGAGGTACAACTCACAAAGAAACCCATTCGATCAACTTCCACCATTATTATTTTAGATGGGCCTCTCCTACCGAGCTCTCGCAGACATGTGAACTCATTGGTACACTAGACCTCATGACTCAAGACAGTATTTACACCCTTGATCTATTAGAAAGACAATACATCAGACCTCTCGGCCAATGATCAGTCCAAACAGTCAACCACACTAACAACTGGAGTCCAAGCGTTGTACCTCTAAGTTTATCTTCCCACTAACATCAAATAAACATAAAAGTACTTTGTAGCCGTCTTGTAAGTGAATTTTGGTCTAGGCCTACTCATAATTCATTCTTAAAACTGTTGTAAAATTGTAATTTTAGCATGTAAAATTGTAATTTTAGCATGTAAAATTGTGATTTTAGCACGTACGTAGTGTGAATGCTTTGCAACTGTGAAGAACACTATTATAGATATCCCTGGTGCTTCCACTGCTATTCATCAGTAATGTTCATCCTTTCACTATGTTCTCTGCTTGATACTTCCATACATAAAAATGAGATACTTGCAAAAAAAAAGGGAAAAAAGAGTTTTTCATTTTGCATGTTGCTTCCAATTATTATCAATACGTTAGTTTATATACCCTAGCCAGACATCATAAAATCCTCTTCTCTTGTCCTATACAGGATTGTTCCACAGAATCATAGGAGACAGTGGGTCGCCTTTAGCTTACAGAGTGAGAGAAGATAACAGACAGTTTGCAGTGGAGCTGGCAAAGCGGCTAAACTGTCCTCACGAGAATTTGTCTGAGGTTCTCATCTGCCTGAGAACTGCTCAGTATGAGGACATAGTCAGAGCACAGAACCTAATTGAGGCTCCTCAGGTACAAAATAAATGAATAAATAATTACATAGGAAGTGTATTATTTCACAAAATCAGGAAGTAGGTGTAGTAGGAAGTAGGAGCATGATGGTTTACATGTTAAAATTATCACTATAATTAATTGCATTAAAAAGAAAGAAAACTGTTAAAATAGGCGACTGTTCATTTATTCACTTTTAAGACAACAATTTTAAGACATGTTGACAGCATTTTAAACTTATTTTAAACGGTTATATTTAACTACACCTATCCTAACATTTATCGGGCTCCATCTGAATTTACCAAGCATTTTTTGTGCAAATGCCTTTCTTGTTTACAAAGGGACCAGTACATACCACAATGTTTACACACCACACTGGCATTTGGATGGACTTTCAACCTTTCAGCTAGCGCTTCCGCTGCATAGTGGGGTATGACAGGGGGAAGTGTTTTCTTCGTTCCCAACTACGCAACAGCCAGTCATTCCAGCCCATAGGGCAGTACGGAAAACTCAGCACAGCCGTGAAATAAACTATTGACTTTTGTTTGACTTTAATGCGTTCTGAAATAATTTTATACTTAATCAAAGTATTTCAAAAGGCTGGATTGCCGTTCCCAGAATTATTTGCTAAACATTTTTTTTTTAGATTCAAACCTCCCTTTTTTTATTTTTGAACCCCCAAAATTTTTCTACCCTTAGTTTGTGAATGCACAATGTTAATATGGGCTATAAATACAGTTATAAAAAGCCCTCATAACTTTGGAATGGATCAAGATTTATTTTAACGGTTTCTGGCATTGTGATAACGGTATAAATCTAGTTCGAAATAATGGGTCACAACCCCACCTTTACATTGAAAAAAATATCTTGCATCCAATATGGCGAATCCAAGATGGCAACCGGAAATGACCACCTTGTCAAATTGAAGTATTTACTACCCAACAATGTTTGGAAGTGGTCTGGGATTGATATTTGAAAAAATGTAGGAAAAAGTTGGGGGGGGGACAATTACAATTCACCCTGTATAATAACTACAACTGTTATAGCTTAGAAATTGTGTATTTTATGCATACTGGTAAATAATGTTTCAAATGATTATTTTCTCATTATTGTTCACTAATTGTTCATTTTTTATTCCACAGGATTATAAGACAGGGCTAACTATTTTTACTCCTACCATTGATAAAAACACCAGTCGAATGCCTTTTCTGCCTGAATTTCCTTACAAGTTGATAAAACAGAAAAAGGACTTTTTTTTACCAACCCTTTTGGGAATAAATGATGGAGAAGGGATCATAAGGCTCTTTGGTAGGTTGTATGTTAGGCAGATTTATTATTCTTCTGAATAAAAGAAGCATGATTAAAATTAAGTAAAAAAAATTTTAATACACTTCAGATTTCTGGTCTAATGCAGCTTTTTCCCTAGGGAATAACAAGAATTTTCAGTCCCTTGGGAGTTAAAGTCAGCTCTTGTTAACTCAGTTTAAAACTAGTTTAGTTGTAAAACTAAGAAATCCCACGTATCAAAATTATATATCGAAGTTAATATATACTTAGAATTGCTATCCTTACTTAGCTTATACAGAATTACTTAATGAATGTAAATCAAAGTTTGGTAAGTAGAAACTTGAAGAGGACACCCGTAAACTAACTTATTAAGCTATTTATTCACAATTAACTAACAACTGAACTTTGTTAGCAGATAATTTTTAATAAAATTTCTTTCCTTGCAATTTTTTTAGAAAAAGAAGAAACCATCAGGAATATTACCAATGATTTAGAATATGTATATGCCTTGCAAGTTCCAGGATCAAACATATGTCCATCAAAACTAAAAGCAGAAAAACTCAAACATTTTTATTTTAAAGATGCATCGCCATCAGAATTACATGCTCGAGGATACGTTGATGTAAGTAATGAAAAGATGAACTATAATTGAATTAATATTAACTGAACACAATATGATTAAACTTTGAATCATTTATTAGACTTTTGGTCTTAGAATACAACCATTAACTTTCAGAAACATACATCCCATCTACTGTAAATACTATATAGATACATTTACTGTAGCCAATTCTTTATTGAAACATGGTTAAATGAGGCACTCACTGAGTCTTCTATGGTCTAAAATTCTATTTCCACGCTAAGTTTCTATTCCTGTGTTGTTTTATGTCACATAACAGTTGCTATGGTTTACAATTAATTAGTTTTTTTTTCAGTTTGGCTTGGTTAAAAAGATGGCAAATCAGTAATATGTGAATTTCACACGAGGCCACCGGTGGCCCCAACTGGTTGGCTGCCTCAGCTTAAACACTGTTTTAAATGGGGGCCTCCAGATGTGGCTACTACAGTTGGTTGTCAGGACACAATAGCCGAGCAGTGTCTCCTTGGGCAACCGCAGTGACAGTAATTTGTCTCAGGGCATTGAATTAAATGACTGGCTTTAAGCATGTGAGTCGCAATGGAGGCCTAACTCTCAGAAGCGCGGGCATCATCTGTTATGGGGTAAACATGAGTCAGTTCACACACGGAGATAAACACACTTGTGCTGGTTGTGGAGTGGTTTCCTATTGAATTTTTTAGTTGTTTTATTAGAAAAAATCACCAAGTAGAAGAAAAATAAGGAGAAAGTTGCCTTAAAAAAGAAAGAAGAACAGAATCAAACAAAATATCAGAAGACAAATTAATACTAAGGATCTAATGTGCGAGATTGAAAAGTATTTGAATAGTAACGTGAGGAGATGTTCATTGCTCGTCAGCATTTGATCAAATAGTCCTACGGTGGCTCTTGGTGGAGTGGCTTGTCAGTTGCCTGTACCATCAACTGCAATTGTCCAGCCGGTAGCTGGTGGCGGCCACTAGTGGCACTAGTGACTTCTAGTGGCCTTGTGTGAAAGGGCCCTTACATCAGCTCTTTTAGTGGCTGGATCTATGGAATCTAGTAGTGGGTGTGCATGGACAGCACATCCACTCTGGGAAGAAGGAGTTTGTTTCATTTGTTAATTTAGATTGGTTGATTAATTAGTAATCGATTGATTGGTTTTTTATTTTTTTGTGATTTTAGTGATTTTTTAGCGATTTTTCTTGATATAATGGCTGTAATTCCACTTTCAGTTGTAATATGAGCTTATTTCCTTGATACTAGGCCTTTAATGGGTAATTTTATTATATTCTACAGTCTAATTCATCATTAAGTGATTATGAAATTGGTTAAAATGACTAGAAAGTCAAGATTAGGCTATGAGTCTTACGTTTTGAATCGTTTTACTTGCCGATTTGCAACCACTGGTAATACTTGAATTTACGATAAAATGTTCATTTAAATTACTTAGACTTCACTACATACCATGTAATAGGTGCTTAAGCAGTGAAATATACAAAAATAAAGTCATAATTTACTTTTATAGAGAAATAAATAAAGGAATAAGCCTGTACTGTTTTTGAACTGTCTTTGTCATAATAGATTTTTTCCATTTTCTGGCTAAACTATACAGTTATAAGCTCTCCAAATGTGGTTTTCAAATCATTTACTAGTATAGTTTAACTAATTTGATGTTAAAATCCCTTAAAAAATCATAAATAACACTATAATTTGCAATATTATGACATTTATCGTCTTTTAAACTCGTGGCGAAAACGCCATTTTATTTTCTGAAATATAAAGCTATTGAAAGGATTAAGATTAAATAAACTACATAATTATGTTTATTGCTATATATTCAACAGTAATAGATATATTTTACCCTTTAAAAATGTTTACTTTTTAAGCCTTATCAGTCTAAAGTTGGCTATTTTGCTCCGAGTTGGACTATTTTAAGTCACAGATTGTAGACTTTTAAAGTGTATATTAACGTAATATTTACTGTTTTAGGCTAAAATGAGTCTCAAAGGTACTATATTATCCTTTGTTTAGTTCAAAATTGGTTTAAAACAGTTAGAATCCTAATAAAGATCCTTTAAATTCATATAACAATCGTAGCATTCGTCTAGATGTAGATAGGTCTTTTGTTAGTCTTCCTGTTAATCTATACATTCATCAGAGGCTATAATCTGTATTAAACTAATTATTAAAAGTTTTATTTGAAGTGTACATAGTCTTACATCAACTGTTTGCCAAATCGCTACGGTATTTCTCAAACATCGATAGAATGCGCTGACAAAGGAAATTGCACAAGGTCACCGCGCGCTGCTCTAGATCTATTGTCATACTTTAATATGTATGGCTAATATCATAAACACTTTTTGGCTTAATAGTTTATTAGTAAAGTACAAACACCATACAGTTTACCATATACAGACTCTTGAACCTTAAGTTTTTGTCATGTGAAAATTGAATTTTCTATACGTGTTTTCAGTATAAATGTATGGTTTTAAAGTATTGAACTGTATAAAGATTGTTTATTAACAATATTATGGTGAGAACAAGAATTAGTAAGTAACAAAATCAGTAATAAAGCATTTTAATGTTGTAAAAAGCATAAACCTGAGTAGTTTGAATGCTAATTATACGTATTTTTTGGTCATTTAACCATAAATATAGAGTTAAAATCTGTACTTTTAGATATTTTACTAATAAATCTAGGCTTATATAGCTTGTTTGACCACAAATACAATAGAAAATGATTTATAGCCTTTGGAATACTTCTCACTATACAAGCTATCGTGACTATCGCCTGCCGTTTGCAGAACGCAACGCGTAGTAACTTAAACGCGGGCGGTCGATTACTAAATAACCCTTAAAGACGCATGCATTTAATTAGGTTAGTAAAATGTGGGTAAAAATTAGCTACAATTCAGTGAAAATCCCATCTCTGTATCACTTTTAGTTTTCGAGATATTTGCATTTAAAGTTTTCCACGAGTTATTTTCCCTATAAACCACGTAAATATTATTTTTAACATACAATTTGTATCATCTGACGTTACATTAGAAAGCCTCAACCTAATTTATAGGTTATAAAGCTATTAAATCCCAAGATTCCATGAATCAACAGTCTTTAATCCTTAAACACTGAGTTTCCAACGCTTTTTGACCATTCTGATCGGTGGAAAATCACAAAAAATGCCTTAAAAATCAAACCAATCAATAGATTAATAACCAATCAATCGATTACTAATTAATCAACCAATCTAAATTAACACAAACTCCTTCTTCCCAGAGTGGATGTGCTGTCCATGCACACCCACTACTAGATTAGGGGTTGTTTATTTTTATTATAAAACTGGTTACGTAACATGGACATGGAAATACAACTGGAATATATAATTAACACAGAGTGTCATCAATTTGGTTGCAAGCTTTGGCATTAAAAGCATTTGGTTACATCTCAAAGTAATTTACTTAAGTATCTAAGTAAGAGTTTTTTTAACTGGATTACTAGATATTTTAACTGACCAGTCAAAATAGTGTGAATATATTTTAACATTGCTACTCTTTAATGTGTTTTTTGTATAAGCTGTTTTACAAAAATATGTTTTGAAAAATATATATAGTTATGGGCAAAAAGTGTCTTTTCAACCCTCGCTCATTTCCCCCCCCCCCCTTGGCTTTACCTCGTGAAACTTGATCTCAGGTCGAAAGGAGTCACTTTACGCCATAGTGATGAAAGAAATATCCTATTATTTATTTTCTATCGTAATCTCAATTCATCAAATAATTAGCAAATTATTGGTCAGACATAAAACAAAATATGGTGTGGAAAGTACAAAATACATCAAATGTATTTAAACATCTTTCAAATTTTCTCAAATTGTTAAAAACCATAAATGCCTTTTAATGATGCTTGCCACTGATGTTAGTACTTGATCCAATGAAGTTGAATGTTTTAAAAATAAGAATATCCTAAAACCACAATTTGTGCTTACCTTATTTATTTACAATTTATTTAGCTTAACTTGAAAGTGTAGGTAGGCCATAGAACATGTAAAAAATAAGCTAGCTGCTATCCTCCTTTTTCTACAATTCAAAATCCTGGCCTAGAGCCTTTCTTTGAACAAAAACTGATTTTAAAATAAGTAATTTTAATAACGAATAGTCTACATTTATGTGTATTACAATGATTCTCTTGCACTATTTAATACTTTTTTTATTTACATTACAGTTATACTCTGACGTTCTGTATAGTTATGGGACTGTGGTCAATGCCAGGGAGTACCAAACTCGATCAACAGTGTTCTTGTATTACTTTACGTTTATTGGGCGTTTCAAAAACAAATTTGTTGAATTGATTCAGAGAAAGTATAACATTTCAGGTAAGGACTAAAATTAAATTATTTTACTTTTATTTGTTTTTAACAAAACTAGTGACAAAAAAAGTTATATTTAAATTTATCCAACTAATGTTGATTTACGATTTCTACAAAGATTAACTGCTTTACATTTTTTTTTATTTTAGTTTGTGGAAATGATTTAAATAGGTATTTGAGTTGCTGATACAAACCAATTTAAGATTGAATCACTTTGCTTTTTTGATAGGTAGCCTAGTTAGCAATGCTATAGCCTTTTAGAACTGCGGGAAAAACTTTCTGGGTATGTGAATTAATAATTCTATCTAAAAAAGGTTGACGTTAGATACAGGGTGCGGCAGAAAGAACTCCCCTATTAGGAAAGCTAATAAAAACAAAACCAAGTAAGATATGACATTTTTATTGCTATTAACCAAAAACACACATTATGCCATTTTAAAAAATATAAAATTATAGTGCTTTAAATAAAATGTCGTTTTAATAATCGATAATTTAAAATTATTGTGTTTAAAATAAAATGTCATTTAAATGGCGGCCTCCAGTGTTAACACATTGGTTCAATCGTTCCGCCCTCAAAGTTTAGAAGCCCTCAAGCCTCAAGGAAAGAATAAGGCATGAAGTTGCAGCCATCTCACCCGACATGACCCGAAAGGCAATGGACAACTACCGGGAACGTTTGTAACAAGACCCGGGGTTTGGACCGTTCCCTTTCAAAACGTAATAATATTACAATACTGCAGTAATTTTGTTTTCTTCTTTGTAAATATTTTTAATGTAAAAGTTCATTATGTAAAACTTATAAAGGAATATTTATTTGGATAACTCTGAAAAATATGGCGGTGTTAATTTAGTGTTTTTTCTAAATTTCCATATTTAATTTTTTATTACTGTCTCCTCTACTCTATGGACATCAATAATTAGCAACTGAGGCCCTCAAACATTCTTTTACATCACTTATCACTTAATTTGTATTGTTTATTTAAATATCATTCTATTGTTGATTATTATTTCTAGGAGTTTGCCATGCAGAAGAACTGAATTATTTGTTTATTAATCAAGATAACAGAAAAACTTTGGAAGAGCACTCCGATGAATATATAACTAGGCAGAGAATGGTGAAAATGTGGACTAACTTTGTGAAATATGGGTAAATAAATATAGAGTTCACTATATTTAAAAGATAATTTACTTACATTGTTATATGATGAGCACATATCATCATGTTAAGTGTTTTAAAGAGAAAAACTTAAAAAATTAAGTTTCAATTCCTTCTTTTAAGTGAGTACCGTCTATTTTAAACCCAACATAAGGTTGTTTCAAATAACTGTGAATGAAATGTGATATGTTACTATTGGTAGCTATTTTCACAAAGTATTAATGGGCAATGGATTGCAGACACATAAATTAAATATTTATTACGCCTCCAAACAACCATCTCCACATTTATTTTAACAAAAAATGATATCATCACGTTCAAAACTTTGCTTGCTCATTCCTTAGAAAGCTCCTTAATAAACAAATTCTATCAATCAATATATATCAAGTTAATCTGTCTTCACCAATGCGATAATTACTGAAATAATTAAGTAATTAAGGACTGTGGCGTCATCCAGTAATCCAGCTACTTGGATGCCACGAATTGTGGATATTTATAAGGCATGATCTGTGGATGCTATACCCTCTGGTGTGGATTAAAATCTGCACTAGTGAGTACTACTAGTACTATCCTGATAACTAAACCAATTAGTAAATTACAAGACAAAAATGTGGTTAGGATTGCACTTTAAACAGTAGGTCCCTTTAGTTGCCATTGGCTGTATGGACTATTAATTGACAGTCCTGGTCTAAGGAACAAGTCGGCCATAGTCAGTAACAAGACTACAACATCGCACCACTCATCTCCATTCATACTTGGCTCACCTACATTTGTATGGTCGCCATTTCAGATTAAAGTACTGTATTAAGTATAAATCTCCACCTATGAGTACGAACTATTAAGCTTGGACTACACTACACAGGAAAAGTGATTTCTATTTTATCAAATAGAAGCTGCTGTACTAGACAGGATACGAAATGACAAACCACGCCACAAAACTCAAGTTAAACTTTAAAAGGGCATTTAATATCAACATTTTCTTATCAAGGGATACACCTAAATAAAAAAAGAAACAAAAGGACATGGACAGAAACTTTCTGGTTAGATATAACGAATGTGTAGTAGGTCGGTAATTGTATGCGCACACTCCAAAGAAATTGTCTGTATCGTTTATTTTCCTAAGTAGTATAGGTTAAATATTAAGGTTGTTTGTTTGTGCAGGACACCCACTGTAGGTCCTGACCCTCTGCTACAGAATGTCCATTGGCTGCCTGCCACAGAAGGTAGAACCAACCACCTCCACATTGGTGTCAACTTGAGAATGGCACCTGAAGATCTCCTGGCCCCTCGGCCGGCAATATGGGACAATATCACTTTCAATCATTGCTTGAATAATGTTTTGGGTTAGTTGTAAATGTGCAAAATTTAACATTTGAATAACACCAAATATTCATCCAATCTTGTTGAATGTGTCAATAGATAAAATTTTGTAATTTGTCATTGGTAGAAGGGCATGTGTAATACAGTAATTTCACAATCTTCACTAACACAAGGCCGTGCCCAAGAATGCAGCACTCGCCATAAAATATCAGTAGCAAGAAATTTGTAAACACTAGTGTTGCACAGATGCTCCATATGATTACGTGTAACAGCTGTCTCAGTAGGCCGGACTTCGGCATTGTCACTTTTGTCTCGCCACAGCCTTGTATAAGAGGAGGAGGCTATGGTAATGGCTTGGATATTATTCCTCATTCTGTTTAGTTAAGTAAGCATACTAAGGCCAATGAAAAACAAAAACTACAAAGAATGTAATACGACGCAACACTTTTTTCTATGATTTGCTTTACTAGCTGATCATAAAAAACATTGTCAAACCTGACAAGAATATCATAAGAAGAAGGGTAGAAAGATACCACGTGGTTAGCAGTGCATTATTTGTATTGAGAATAAAAATGAGTGTATAGTAGAACTCCTCATACCCTAGTATAACCGACTCCTTGGGATAGCCAATATTCTATTTGTTTCCTGTCTGATGCGAAAAAGACAAGGGCTTTCGGTTAACCGAAAAGCCGATCAGGCGATCATGGGTGTTGCCGTAATCGCGGTAGACGATCACCACTGTCGCCGTAGGATGTTTTCACACGTTGCCGCATCCGAGAGAGATAATTACTGGTCTCGCCAAGGCCGCTAGTTATGCTCCTCTCAATATCTGACGTTTTGGCCGTTCCGACCATGACCCGGTCCCGTCATGACTGGATATGAAGCTGATCACTACTGTAGTTAAATTGAACCACCAAGAAGAGAGTGCTGCTGTTGATAAAATATACTTGTTGAATTTACTGTCTTTTTAACCAAGCCAAAGTAAAAGTACAACTATAATATCTTTAGGTCAAACCAATTATCAAAGTATCATAAATGAAGAGAAAATAGAATTTTCTCAGTAGCACTAACTGTAAATGATTTATTCAACTCTATTCTATTTGAATGAAAGATTTACATAATGCTAACACCTGCAAGCAATTAATTGTAATTGAATAATTATTATGATATTGTTGAGAAAGCATAAAGGGAAGAAAAGTTACACATTTGTTTTAAGATACAGTTCTTTAATACAGTGTACCTGAGATTATAAAGTTTCTTGGACAGTTTATAAACATAGCGGTTTTGTAAAGTAAACAAATATAAAGAATATATTTTTCAACTTGAATTTTTTTTAATCTACTTTATTAAAATTCTTTTTGACATAACTATAAACTTTCATTTTCAGTAAAAAAATAAACAAATAAATGTACAATGGAATCATGCTATATACTTTATGGTTTAGTAGAATGATAGAATAACTATATTAACATTCAAACTGTGCAAAATTATAGTAATACTGAGTGTTTATTTAATACTTAAATACGCAATTGTAACATACTGTAGTACAAAAACATCAAAAGCTATAAATATTTTAGTGTCACAAACCTGTTATTAAGGTATCTAATTATTACTCGAAGAATTCGTATCACTAGGAATAATACAATATATACAATCAGATTATATTGGTCAATAACATTAACTCAATTTATGAACCTAACTATTTCTACAGAATAAAATAAATACTTTTCTTTGTACAAAATGTTTACAAATATTTTCATATTGAGGTAAACCTGGTTTCTATCTTTACAACTAGATTGGTCTAACAGTAAGAAATACACAATAACTTGATTAAGGTAATATAGTAAAATAATGTGATATAATGCAACAATAAAATACTTTTATATTATTAAAGCTTACAAAAGTATATACAGTTTGTCTATCTATGTATTACCTTTAAACCAGTTAACGATTCACCAGAACAGTTAAAAAAGGTCACTTGTGTTGTGATATATTAGCTGGATTTACATAGATTGATATGTAAGTTGAGAATTTGTATAGTGGATTCTCTTGGTGAAAATATACAAACAATTTTTCTCCGTAACTTCGTTCCTACATTACCTACTGCAAGATCGAAATACAAATTGTTTCTAAGAATTTATATTTACTGAAGTTTTACTTAAAATATCGTCGTCTAAGTGATAACCAAAAAGAAAAAATCTATAAAAAATACCTTACATTTTACACACAAGTAACAATTATTTAAAGTTTGGGATAAAAAAAAGTGTTTAAGGCCAATTGGAACCGTATTAAAATGTAATCAACGGCTTAAACATGATTAGGAATCAGTAGCATCTAAAATTACCCAAATTTAAGTATTGTTAAGCACATTACTGTATTTGGTAATTAGAACAAATTGTGACTGCTAATCTAATTTACTGAGATATAACTTTTTTGTAAAGTAAAAATCTTAAAAACAAAATGGTGGGAATAATAATGGATTTTTATGACCCTTTAAATGTGTTCAGTAATATTACAATTTTTTCCTCCAATATCTTGTTCCCAGGGTCAAAACAGATTTAGTTACCAGAGTTGCATCACATTTGCAAATATTTGCCTCTTAATGCAAGCACTTATCTTTGCATTAACAGATTGTTCATTATTTAGATTTGACACTCAACAGAAGCTAAAAGCATGGTATAGTTAATTCTTTGAATCTACTCACTTCCGACCATTTGGTGTCATTTTGTAAGCTTGTTTAGATGAAAGTTACCCAGAGGCAAACTTTATTAGTTTCCAGCATTACATCTACGTATTTACCATCTCTGTGCTTCTAACAAACACATCATGAGACATTTCCAACTAATCTTGCTATCTTCGCAAACACAGAATGTTCACATGTATGTGACAGTGACATTGTTTATGAGAGTTGTCACTGCCGGATGGTGTCACGGACGGTCTATAGTTTGGAAGAACCACTCTGTGAACCGGCGTAGTTGTTGCGCTGCACTCTGGCTCTCCTCCTGTAGACGCCGGTTCTCCTCCTTCAACCCTCTCACCTCTTCCTCCAGAGACAGTCTCCGCCGGGTCTCACGGGACAGACGACCTTCAAGCTGTGACAAGTGCTTCTGTAGCTCCACCATCCTGCGACCTCTGTCAAAAAACCAAAAAGTCAATAACTAATCATCAAGATAATAATTGAAAAAATAAAATAACCATTTGGTCCAAAGTTTGCCTCAAATAACTAAGCTTTTTTCCAAGAGCTAAGCCAAAAGATTAAGCCCTTTCCAATCAAACCTATGTTTTTTTCATTCACTGATGTTGACAAAATACATAAGTCAACATTTATTTGTTACATTGATTTATTATTTTTTACTAGTTCTTTCACATTCTGAGATGCTAGGCTCTGACCCTGGAACCATTTTACACATCATTTCAAGCTAGACCTAGAGGGTCATGTGGGTCATTGGCTGGTTGGGGTGACTTGCCCAATTTGAACCTGGGGCCTACTGAAGCCCCACACTCAACCACTAGATCATCTTGTTACCCGGACTATCCATTCATATTTTATAGGGTACTAGCAGTTGAACATTGAACAATGACATTTGAAAACTCAGTGCATGTTTGAATGCATGATGTAGACTAACGGTAGCTATCTACTAGGGCTATCCAGAAAGTACCTGACCTTTTGAAATCGCCATAAACAAAATGAAAAAAATAACAATTTTTATTGTATACATTTTGAAGCCTCAACTGGCAACTACACTGTCTACATACTGAATGTTTTTATGTGTTTTAAGAATTTAAAAAAACAACTAGAAATTGTGTTGGTTGGAAATAATTTACCAGTTGTGTGAAATGATCTTAAATACAAATGATGATGATGATGATCTTTGTGTCAATTAATGCTTCAAACATGTTTATTCCTAAAAACTCTCAAACTAATTTTAAAACCACTTTATCGTGGCTATTCAAAGTATCTCAGAGTAAAATAGGTAAAGCCTTTATCTTAACTGTAATTTTTCATTACACAATCCTCGTAGTAGTAAAAGGTTTTGTTTTAGTAATGTGTGGTACCGTACAGTAATTGTTGTTAGAAAACCATGAATGTAGGATACTATCCATTTTCATAGTAATGTCCATGGTGGAAGGAAAATACATAGGTGTGCTATTCCTGTCATATTTTGACGTCACTCAGATTGCAAACAAAAGATCACCTGATTGTAACAGTCAAAATTAGTATGTATTTGTTTTGATTTGATTGTTATTGTTTTTATAATGTTTTCAAAATAGTTCAATGTGTTCATTATAAAAACAATAACAACCAAATCAAAACAAATACTAATTTGACAGTTACAATCAGATGATCTTTTGTTTGCAATCCGAGTGACGTCAGAATATGACGGGAATAGCACACTTATGTATTTTCCTTCCACCATAAGTAATGTCAATGTACTAAAATTAAAAATAATGGTTTGAATACAGTTCTGAGAAGAAAACTGCAAAAAATATGGGTAGCTGCGTACTGTACTGAACCGTACAAACCTTAAATTTTCTGTACCGCAAACCCCTAGTTAATTCAATGATAAAATCAAAAGTTTTTTAACAAAATCTGAAGATTTAGTTTATTTTCTCCTGTAGTTAATTAAAATGTTGTATATTTAGTCTTAGAGCTGAGTGAAATGTTTGGCCATTAACATTAGCAGCAGCACAACCAGTGAATAAGAGAACACTGCCGTCACCATTGGTTGATTCCGTTGTATTTACAATTTAATTTATAACCACTGACTTTTTGTCTACAGCCATAACAATGTTTAGTTTGCTAGATAAAACTAACGGAACACTTATATAAACACACCTAGTCAACTGAAACCAAGAATTAATCACACAGCACGGATATTAGAACAGAAACGGTACTGATTATAAACCAATGACGTCACTGCCGAAAGCAAACATGTTTGTTTAATTATTTATGAATTTATTGGTTTGAGCTAATGACATCATTTGTTTATGCTTATGATCCATACAGTTTCTGTTTTAATATCTATGATAACAGTTAAATCATTCCTTTAAGTCAACAGCCGATCTTATGTTTTTGTGTTAAATACTGCTTCCATAAGGATTACATTGAAACTTTTAAAGCCTGTGGGGCGGATTCCTTTGAGGATTTTTTAACGCCATATAGATGTTAGCACTCACCAATATGGTCTTTGTCGCCATGCAAAATTTTAAAAGGATTGCTTCAGCCGTATAGCAGGAGTTTGCGTATGCACAAAAGCATAAATGCATAAGAGTTGACGTGTAAGAGCTCTGCTCAATTACTCAAATACTTCGATAACGTTTTGGCCTCGAGGTAGAGTGCCATTTTTAGAATGACATGACTTCCGTGTAGTGCTGTTAGTTGACAACTCAAGACACCATGAAGATGGAACACTACATCAAGGACAAATTGTTGGTCAACAGAGTTTCAATTTTGACACGGTTGCTCCACAAAACCACAAATCTACTCTATTTCACCGTGGAGGCCTATCCATGAATAATATAAAAGGACAACCATAAATTAAAACAAACAAAGCATGACTCACAGTGCGTGTGTGGCAACGTCGTCTGCACTGTCGTGTATATTGTTGTTGTCGTGTTCATGCACCTGCAGCATGGCTCGTGTAGCAGTGTCCACTAGACTGCCCCAGTCCATACCTCTAGTGTCAGGTAAGGGAAGACTTCCCCCTCCCCCACCTTCCCCCATACTGCTGCTGTTGCTCTTTCCCCCTGTCTTTACTCGGGGGGAGAGTCTGCAAATGTCAGGTAGTGATTACTTTAAAAACTTTAAATTAAGTAATTATAGTGAAACAATTTCAAACAAAAGGTTAAATTAGTATCTACTTCTAGTATCTAGAGGTAGATACTAGATTTGACAATGTCTTTTACTCAACACATTTTAACAATAGTATATTACGTTACTAGTCCTGAAAATAAGTGTTTGCCGGACAAGTGTGGTCATTCCCGTGCAAGACGAAGTCGAGTATGGGATTACCATACGAGTCCGGTAAACACATTTTGGACGAGTGACGTACGACAGTTTACGCCATACTACTAAATCTGTATAAATCCTCATACAAGGGCCTAAAAATCACTAGTCATAACCTCTAAGTGAGGTTATGTTTTTGCTTATAACTACTCATTGCCACCCAAATGCAGTATAATCAGCTGATTGGTGTCCGGTAAAACTCATTACAGTACAGTAGTACACAATGAAACCCCATTTGATTAAGCCGGCGGCAAACAGCTGTTTTCTGGACTTATCCTTGCGTGGGAAGTTCATCAAAATAGTGTAGTGTGGCGTATAAGATTTTTCAATGAATGGTAATTTAGCAGAGTTTAAACATGAAACTTAAGAAAAAAGTCTCACATACTATACCAGCCGCACACTGACTATTACAAATAATAATTTGTCATGCCTTATAACATCTTCAAATGGACATTTTGTTATTTCATCATTACAGAGACATTATCAAGTTTGGCCTGTACCTCTCCTCCTTGCTGAGCTTGGTGGGATGATCAGGTGCAGGGCTGGAAGCAGTGGATGTATTGCTGATGACTGTAGCGGGGCGAGCCATTGTCAGTATCACCTCCTGCGCCCCAGCGGGGGCCTTATCCTGGACAGGGGCTGACCCACTGATCTGCTTGTTGCTGCCCGTAGAGCCATTCTCCTGTTACACAATATCATTGACTTCCTGATACTGAAGTATAGATCCCATCTATATGGACCAACTTTAGGGAATTTGAACTTGAAAACAAGTCTAATGACTCCATCGCATAGTCTGCTACAGTCTAAAATTCCATTTTCGCCCTCAGTGTCTGTAGTTAAGACAGTCTATCAATTTGGTTCAATTGAAAAGGTGGCATTTGATAGAAATCACTAATCATTAATTTATTAAGACTGCAATTCATCAATTAATGGGTTAGTTAGTTTAACTAGATTTTTTTTTTCAACTGGCTACAACTTTAACATGGAAATTGTTTATCTCTCGTACTACTCATAGTCCAAGTTCAAATTTACAGTCACAAAAAGTGTTTGTTATGTTTCTTCCACTTGGGAACTTTATTAGTGCTAGCTATGATATTGACCATATTGTTTAGATTGGTCAGACTGGCAACATCAAATTTAGCAGCATTAAACCTCAGCCAATAATTTATTATTTTTGTAATGAATATCTTATTATTTTTGTAATGACACTTCTTTCTTCGAGGAATTTACAACTCGAAATAAAATCTTTCATTCACGTGTTTAAAGTTGAAGCCAGTTTTAAAATAATAGAATATGGTTGATTTGAACCACCGTCAAAGTGTGCTTCTGTGATATTCCTTTATTTCCGTCATGCCAAATTAGAAGGAGAATCTGTGGCTGTGCAATCATTTTGTCACACCAACTATCACATAATAGTAGTGTTACCTACTCTCAGAACCAAGCATATGTAGTTGATATTTGGCAGCGCCAACAAAGCACCAAAAAGAAGGATCTTTCCATATGACAGTTGCACCTATTCTTTTTAAAAGGGTACAAAAAACAAAACCATGATTGGATTTTAATTACTTGTCTCAAAGTGTGAAAACTCATCCAACCATTCAACTTTTAAATTCACCTTGACTTCTCTCCACATATATTTTAATAGTATCAAAAACTATGGGAGATAATGGCATTTTTACAGTAGCACATTCAGTTAGAGACTCATTGATTGCATATACAGGGTGACACAAAGGAACCGGACGTTTTTTAAACAGCTGTTCCATTGTTGTCGCAAGTGGTAGGAAGATTGAAGTTATGTCATTACCATCAGTGAGACTTGCCATTTTTATTGAAATGGCTCAGTGGACCCTAGGCCATCGCGTTTTCGCACACGATACTTTGGTCCGAAATGGTGAATCTGTCGTCAAATCTAGCGGGGTTTGAGTCGATATTTTAACATTGAACGCCATGGAGAACGGTTCCAAGCCGAAATACGCTATTAAGATGGGTTTCTAGGATTAAGGCCATCTATTAAGATGGGACTAGGCCTTGTTAGAACTTCGAGAACACCCGAAAATATCGCCAGAGTGAGAGCAGTATTGAATGAATGTTTCATAACAAGGTGATTTCTCGCTTTAGTGACATACCGTGGCCGCCGAGATCACCTGACTTGCCCAATAGTGATTACTTACTTTGGGGGTTTCTTAAGGAGCGTGTTTATGCTCACAAACCACACACTCTGGAGGATTTGAAGTTTGCAATTACAGAAGATATCAATGGCATTGAACAAGACCTCCTGACCCGAGTTTCAGATGATTTTCAGACCAGAATGAACATTTGTAGATAAGTACATGGCCGCCATATGCAGACGTCATTTAAAAAAATTACTTTTTTGTAACAAATGGTAAATGTTTACCTCACTATGTACATTATTAAAACCATTTTATTCCATTTAACTACTGTGTACTACTTGTTTAAAAAACGTCCGGTTCCTTTGTGTCACCCTGTATATTGAAATAATAAACTTTCTAAAGTCAATCCATATAGAATAACAAACAATTGAACTAATGCCAGAAACTTTGGGGACAAAACATTTCCCTAGAGTCTACTGGATGTTGTGTTCAGGTTACCTTGGTAGGGGTGAGGTCACTCGCGTCAGGAGTGATCAGGCGAATCAGGTCCTCCTGCAGTGTGGAGTTGGTGAGGTTGGCAGAGTTGCGGTTGGGGTTGCGCGACGGTCGCAGTCTAGCCTCGCCAGTGTCTCGCGGTCGCGGACTCTGGTTGCGACTGCCAGTGCTAGACGGTGTCAATGTACCACCACGGCGCATCCCAGGTGAACTGCTAGCCGACAACTCATCTGACAAAGTGAATCTCATATAGAATTTGTCACCTTTGTCTCAGTAGTTGAGAATTTAATAAAGTTAAATTATACTGCAACATACACTCAATGGTCTCTTTAGTATTGTAACTGAGTGATTATAATGCTTGCCTACTAATTAGTAGTTTAGTTGGTTCTATCATTATTGGATACTGAAGTACATCCCATCCATAAGGATCAGCAGTCACAATTTTTTTAATACAGATGAACAAAGTTTTGGGAGCCAGAATGTCCTAAGGTCTAAAATTCTATTTTCTACCTTATTTTTTGTTGCCTGCATATTGCACAGTATGGTCATAACATTTACTATAGCTCACAATAAGTCGTACTATTAGCTTGACTTGGTAGAAAATTGTGTGTATTCAACAAAAATTTATAATTTAGATCAGCACAATCTGTCAAAGGCTCACATGAACTACGATGATTTTCATGAAAAATCTGGCAAAATATTTAACATGGGGATGGAATGTCTAGTTGTATTAATGGTCAACGGTTCTATTCTGGACCCAGCATTCCATAATTTATTGGGCTTTGCTAAGGCAAAACAACACAGATCATTTCACTTCGTTCAACCCTAAATCTCCTTTCATATTCAGTTTGAATTATGCAATTGTGTGTGTGTGTGTGTGTGTGTCTCGCTGTCTTAAATAAGTGATGGAACTTCAGGATAGTGATAAATAAAAATATTCAAGTTTATTATATTTTCACTCCCAAGTTTTTACCAAGTAAATTTTGTAAGACTCACCTTCACTTGGCATACCGAACAGCCTTTCACTAGTAGAGCTTGTGTCAGTGGAGTGGCCGTCACTGACAGTGAGTGTCCGGACAGACGCAGTGCTGCACTCTAGTGGTAGACTAGCAGACTTTTCACTGCCACTGGTCGTCTGGTAACTGTTGTAGTCTGCCACCTGTGAGACACACAAACAACACAATTAATCATCATGGTTTTGGTTTTGTAACAATTAAATGAGTAACAATAATGTAAGGGGTCTGCGGAGCACCCCTCGTATTTTCGAGTTGGGTCCAGCCAACAGTTAGCCTGAGGGATCAGTTCAGGCTGGAAATAATTTTTGGTCCAATCTCGGGTCAGTAATTTATGCTTGAGGTGTGCAAACTGCTTGATTTTTGTCAAGCTTTTATTTTTGGAATTACAGAAAACCTCTGAGAAGGTGCTTGATTTAGTTTTGCCGTAGTTATTGCAGACAAAGATGAAGTCTACGAGACTGTGAAATAAATCCTTGATTTTTCTGTGTCAGCCGAATATGTTCACAATTTTGCCTTACCACGGAAGACATTTTCAATTTCCCCATGACCTTTTAATTTTAACGAGGTTCATGGTTTTGCCAAGAACAGCAAAGATATTCACAATTTTTTGTGTCACTGAAGATATTCAAAATTTTGCTTGAGCTTGGAAGATATTCTCAGTTTTGCTATGACCGTGGAACATGATTACGATTTCACTGCGATTATAGGAGATGATGACTGACTGTTCTGATATTTTTTTAAATCAATACTTATCAGAGCTACCCAATTTTGGTCCAAGAACCAAAACCAAAGTTTTTTTACCTGACCCAACCTGAATTTAAAAAATATCTGGCCCCCACATCCATAATTTATGTAAAGAATACAGTATTGTCTAACTAACCTACCTTGGGCATCCTAGTGACCATGTGATAGTCGTGAGGCGTCCTCTCAAGTTGCCGCCTCAGTTCATGACTTCGCTCTGATGCCTTCAGCAGACAAGTCGTAACCTTCTCCCCTACCTTGAACTCATTGACGGGTTGGAACGCGCTGAGTCGTGCAGGTAGGGGTGGGGGAGGAGAGTCGCGCAGGTCAGCTGGTGGCTCTAGGAGGTCGTACCATCGGTCATCACTTGAGTGACCACTCGAAGACGACGTCATGGTACCCTGGGTAACATTACTTGTCTAAATAACAGAACGTAACTCTGCTTTGATATTTCTAGAATTGGAGACATTAAACTGTTTGTGGATATAATTAGGGTGCAATATGATTTTCCAATCATATCATAATTATAAGCATGATAGGAACATTACTGTCTATAATCTTCTGAAAACAATTAAGCCTAGAATAAATAAATGCTTGCAGATGATGAAGAAATTGAGAGATGAAGATGAAAACACCTCATGATTCAGTCAGTTTTATTTAGTCAGTGACAGTGATAAGACAGTGCTGGCCAGCCTTTACAGTTTTAACCAGTTTTATCACTTTTTATTCAATTTTAATAATTTGATCAACATAATATTGTGATTCTGACAGTGTTTTAAAGAATCTTTTGACATACCACAATGTATTAATATAATGATGATGTGGTTGCATGCAATGACCTGACGATGTTCTAAGGAACGAAACTAGTTGTCATACCAACAACTGTGGTTGGATAAGGTAAGTCTTATATTTTATCAAATGCTTGCACTTTTATTTATCGCTTACTATAAGTTACTTTTCAGTTTGGCTTGGTTCAAAATAAATGGTAAGCGTATTATACAAATAAAACAGTACTTGACACTAGGTCTAATTAAACCATGTATAAGACTAGCTAAAGCTCTCACATGGGAATGGGATGTCTACTTTATAAATAGTTGAAAGCATTATCTATAGGTAACTTACAGTGACCTCCATGTTAGTCGGGAACCTTGGGTCTCCTCCACTGAAGGACTTGCTGCTACTGCCTGTGCCGTAGCCTGAGCTGTTGCTGGATCTCGGTGGTGAGAAACTTCGCTCATATCTGTCACAGTAAGGTGAGGTTAGAGTTTATGCATTCACCATGCTTGAATAAATATGTTCCGTCTTATATTATCATTATTATTTTAGCAGTAGAAAAACTAAAAAAGCAAACCACATTAGTTAAAGAATTTAGGATCAAACTACATAACCGATTCCAAGTTCTAGGTGACACGGAAGAAACAGAGATTATGGAAGACATAGAAAATAAATGGGAAACGTTCAGAAACAGTATACTTAACACAGCAAAAGAAGTTTGTGGTAAAAAGAAGAGAGCAAGGAAGAATCCATGGTTTGATGGAGAATGTGAGCAAGCTATACTGGAAAGAAGCGAGAGGAAAAAGAAGTGGTTGAACAATAAGTCTAACGAAGATAGAGAAGAATATTTTAGAGTAAACAAAGAAACCACAAGAACCCTGCGTAAGAAAAAGAGAGAGTACTTGAAGGGATTACTAGAAAAAGCAGAAAGAGATCAGAGAGCACAAAATGCCAGAGACTTTTATAAATGTGTTAGGCACTTCAGAAGTGGATATACAGCAAATGCATTTGGCATTAAGGACAAAGAGGGCAATATTTTAGTACAGAAACAGGAAGTGACCAACAGATGGAGAGAGCACTTTGAGGAGTTACTAAATGGGGAAGAAATTGACAATAATGAAGAAATCCCCATATACCATGATGTACAACCTCTTGTTGAGAATCCAAATATTGAAGAAGTAGAACAAGCATTAAATTCCTTAAAGGATAACAAATCTCCTGGAGAAGATGGTATAGTAGCAGAATTATTGAAAAAAGGTGGCAGGACTACACTAGAAAAACTCCATGATATAATATGTAGAGTATGGAACGAAGAAAAAATGCCAAAAACATGGAAAGAATCTATAATAGTGCCAATATATAAAAAAGGAGACAAAGGAATATGTGGAAATTACAGAGGAATATCTTTGCTCAGTCATGGATATAAAGTTTTATCAAAGATTATTCAAAAGCGACTCGAGGAATACACAAGTAGTATAATAGAGGATCACCAGGCAGGATTTGTAAAAGGGAGATCTACAATGGACCAGATTCACATACTTAAACAAGTTATTAGTAAGCACTGGGAATACAATAAAGAAGTACATGGGCTTTTCATTGATTTTTCGAAGGCCTATGATAGCCTTGACAGGGGAAGAATATATCAGCAGATGGAAAAGTTTGGGATCCCCAGAAAACTAATAAAACTAGTAGAAATGTCCTTGAATGAATCAAAATGCAAAGTAAAAATAGATGGAGAGTTATCAGAAAGCTTTGAAGTAAGAACAGGCGTAAGGCAAGGTGATGGAATGTCACCTATACTATTTAACATAGCCTTAGAAGAGGCCCTCCAACAAGTAAGACAAACAAATATAGGTTTAGAAATGGGAACAAAAATAAACATCCTAGCTTTTGCGGACGATGTAGTAATTCTGTCAAAAAACAGAAATGACCTAGAGGAGCTAACCAGACTGTTCATAAAAAAATCAGAAAAAATGGGCCTAAAGATTAATGATGAGAAGACAAAATATATACACTTCACGAGACAGCCAAATGAAGTGAGGACAAATGAAATTAGTATAGATGGACATACTTTTGAAGTTGTTGAACAATTTAAATATCTAGGGGTAATTATATCAAGCAGCAATAGTGAAGAAATGGAAATAAATTATAGGATTGCTCAGGCCAATAAATGTATGTATTCTTGTAAGAAATTGTTGACTTCAAAGATTCTCTCACATAAAACGAAAATAAAAATATATCATAGTATAATTCGACCAGTATTAACATATGGAGCTGAAACTTGGATTTTAAATAAAAAAGAAGAAAACAAAATGATTGTTTTTGAAAACAAAATTTTAAGAATGATATATGGACCAATACAAGAAAATGGAGAATGGAGAAAAAGACATAATAGGGAGATAAGGAATATGTACAATGATTATGATGTAGTAGCACACGTGAAAGCAAGGAGAATAAGGTGGGCAGGACACGCACTACGGAGAGAACGAGGTTCACTACTAAAAGAAGCAAGTATAGGAAAGCCAGAAGGGAAACGACCATTAGGAAGGCCCAAGAAGAGATGGTGGGATAGTGTTTCCAAGGACGTCAGAGAAGTGGGGGCAGAAGTGGAAGAGGCAGAAGATCGAGAGAGATGGAAAGCAGTTGTTGGTGCGGCCAAATCCCGCCTTGGGCATAAATGGCCATGGGAGTGAGTGAGTTATATTATCTGGCCATATTTACAGTAAGGCAAGTGCCTACAATGCATCCACAGCCACCTTAGGTAAAAATGAAGAAATATAAAATATAATTACCAAAAATGCAAAAATGGCCAAAAGACCATGCAAGTTCTAATAAACCAAATGCTTTTGTCAATGTTTAAATTATCAGTAAACTAAGAGCATCTTTCAACTCGATCAAAATTAAAAACATGATTTCATTTTGTAGAATCGATTTAAAGCATAAAATGTGGATAAATACAGGATTATTTATTTTACTTAAGATCTTCAAATAAATAAATAATATAATATGACATATAAAAAATACATTAAGAAAGTAGGAATGGATAATCGACTAGCTCAATAAAAAAGTTCTAGGCATAATAAGATAGCACACAAAAATATCAAAACGTTATTAAATTTGGTTAGTATTAAGGTAGTTGGTTTTATTTTATACGAGATTGTTTCTGAACCCACGTGCCATTTTTTTTATCAACAATCTGGCAAAAGGTCAATGCCAAACAATAACAAGGCAAAGATTTGGACTGTTCCTTTACGAAACAAATGTTTAAATGCCAATGGCATAGAGACGCAAATAAAATGATTCATTTGATTTTTTGCCGCTACAAGAGGGTTTCATAAAGAAAGGGACAAAATATGAAATTAGAATTGTGAACTTCTAGTGTGCTTTAAACTGACTGAAACTCTTTCCTCGTAAGTTAGTTTTGTCTCAATTTATTCTTCCTTAATTTATTCCTAAGCCAAGGGAACTCTCCTCCAAAATATTAAAAATTACTTTGACTGTATTCATTAACACCCACCTGCGCCTATGGTTGGCAGGCACAGCTGTCTGTAGAGCTGCAGTACCAGTGGCCGGGGCAGAGTCTGGAGAAGCTAGGTTCTCATAGTCACCCTCATAACCGGACGTTAGGTTGTAACCGCAGTGCTGCATGGCACAGCCACGCCGAGCACTGCCGTCACTGTGAGGTGGAATCACCGTTACGGTGACCAGCATTGAAGTCTTCAACAGATCAACCATTTGATCATGGCTCAGTGTTGATACAGCCACCTGCAATAAGGGTGTTTATTATTTTCTAGTTATTAGTAAATGTCATTTACTTACATAAAGTAAAAAAAATTTTTAATAATTTACGCTGCTGTTTTTTTTTTGTTTTTTTTTTTGTGTTCTGGATCACACTGTTTAGTACCGTACCCAAAAATAACTAGAGAATAATTTACTAAGTCTTAGGATTATGAAGCTGCATTGCTGATACACATTGATTTGTTATCTAATTCGATACCCTTTTGGTCCTATAAGTATCAGTCAACTGTACTATATTCTTAGCATTATTATAATGTTTTTCATTCCAACAAAAAATCCAAACTTATTTTGAATACCTCACAACAACAGTTTCTCCAACCTCACATATTTCTACAAGCCCAGCGAGTATTTTCTGAGTACAGTGGTGGTGTGCAAAGAGATTGTTTGGTGGTACCCACCCCACTCAAAAATAGTGCACAATTTCACAGTACTTGACCGTCCACTGGATAACATGTTAGATCAGAGACTTCTGTACCTTGCATATCTCGACTAGTCGAGCCCCTTGTCTCAGTCCCGCCTGCCACGCCAGCCCCATGCTCTCCACCTGCGTCACCACACCGTCAGGCTGCACGTGAAACCCCAGCTGACCCAGGGGGTTGCGCTTGAGTGTCAGTTGTTGCGCCACACTGCCCTGTGTCACTGAGCGTAGCCTCACTACCACCTATGTGTAAAAAGGAGCAACAATATTACATCAACATTCTCAATATCTACATCAAGCAGACCCTAACTTCAAATTACTGTATTAACTCCACATTTAGGAGATTAAAAAAAGAACCATCTAAACCAGGGTGGATGGATTAACTTTGATATCAATTTGAGTCTAAACCTTGAGCTATTTTTAATAAATTATATTTTCTTTTGATTGTTGGTGAGTCTATAGTTTTGTTTCAATCCAATAAATATCCAGCCATAGAAAAATCTAATTGAAGTCACATAGCTAATCATTCATCTCTCCCAAATATGGTTAGTCAGTGTCCTTTTTACATATTTGTTTTTCACACAAAACATTTCTTAAAATTTTTTTTTACTAATCAAGTTTCTATAAGTAGCCCTTCACAATCAAATACCTTTATCAGTAGGGTTAATTCAACCTTAGAAAGAACAGGTCTAAACACATTAAAGGTCTAAAAATCAAATTATGCTTTCCAACTTCATAGAAAAATTAAACCTTACCTCCATAAGCTCATCTCGATCCCCATTCTCCCTCATATGAACAGTCATACACTCCCCCTGGTGGTAGTAAACACGTAAACTGCAAAACAAAAATAATGTTACGACAAATGATTTACAGAAAAGGATAGTCGTGAAATCGTACATTATGAGCATAATATTGGTAATAAAAATAGTATAATTCAAATAGTAGAAGTGTGCTAGAAAAAGTATTAGTAAAATAAACTAAGAAAAAATTCAAACGTTAGATCTTCTAACATTTTAAGTATGATTAAATTTAATGTGAGATGCAGTTTTCAGCTATTTAGTTTATACATGGGCACATAGATAGTTGTATCACTTTGTTATACTAAAGTACAAATTCCATCTATATGGACCAGCTGTAGCCAACTTTCCATTAAAAAAGAACATTGTTGAATGAGCCACTCACATAATGGTAGTTATACCAGTGGGGTAGCCAGGATTTTGTTTTGGGGTGGCCTAAACCGAAGGGGTATGGATTATGGAATACCTACCAAGATCCTACCAAGATTATGGAGGTAGGGTTTGGAGCCCCTCCAGAAATTTTGATATTTTAAGGTGCTAAAATTCAGTTTATAACACCTCTGAAAGGCTCTAATGTAGATAATAGTCTCAGTGTAATACCACTAAGAGTGGTTACCTCATCTCCTGCAGTTGTGGAGACAATGTCTTCTGGGATCACTGCACAATCCTGAATATCTTCCTCAGTAACAGAGTCACCATCATTGTCTCCGGTTGTCATGAAAACTTTCATCGATGACACCCTTGATCGTGGTAAAATCACGAATATCCCCAGTCCCCCACAGTCATGTAGAAATTATCTTAGTCTTCTGTGATTGTGGCAAAATTCAGACCATCTCCCGCAGTCGAGTAGACATCATTGTCGTCTTCGCGGTCGTGCAGACATTATAATCGTCTTCTCCGATTTTGAAAATATTTTGATAATTTTCCGCGTCTATTAAGACATTTTCATTGCCTTCCATGGTTTTGGCAAAATAATCAATGAATATCTCGGAACAGAAACATCATCATTGTCTTCAGCGATCGTGGTAAAATTCAGATCATCTTCCGTAGTCGAGTAGACATCATAGTCGTCTTCCCTGATCATGAAAAAATTTTGATCGTTTCTTGTGTCCATGAAGACATTGTCATTGTCTCCCATGGTCACAGCAAAATAATGAATGAATATCCCACACGGAACGGAAACATCATCATAGTCTTCCGCGATCTCGGCAAAATTCATCTCCCACGGACGTGTAGTAATTATCGTTGTCTTCCGTGATCAAGGCAAAATTTGGATCATCTCCCGTGGCTCCAGTTCAACTACCTCCATCTTGATAAAAAATCTGGCTACAGCTTGACCATGGGGATAGAATGTCTAGTTCTATTCCAAAGGTTACAGTGAAAGGTTGTGGGTAATCCGGTTATGGTTGAGTTTGCTACTCAGAATAGTGTCTTGAGTTTATGGTTTTTAAGTGTTATAATCTACGTAACCGTGAATGGTACTCCTACCTGTTGGTGTTGGTGGTCCACCCCAGTACACTCTTGCAAGGTGTGACAAACACTATCTCTCGACTGCCTTCCTCTACCAACAACAGAGTGTCTGCAGATACGGCCAAGATACAGTCTACTAGTGTGGCTAGGCTAGAGTCTTCCAACACCACCTGTCAACAGATACGTAGCACAGTTAGCTCACTGCTCACTGATAATACTTTGTAACAAGTCTTTAACATTATTTGTTCGAAATTCAACCTAAATGTCAGCCATTAACTATATTCTGCCACTCTTACTTCTTGACCAAACACATAACAAATCTGGTGATATATTTCAATCGGTTTAAAATATGTAATTGTTTTATTAATTGTACGCATTACACAACTAATGGGATTTTCATTTGCAGTGCTGATGTTAAAACTCCACACCAAATCAAATGTATGACCAAAAAATTCACAATATTTTTCAAAATGTTTTTCTGAATTACAGTAGAAAATAAAATGTGAGGAGAGAAGGGATTTCATAATAATATGAAGATGGTACAAGAGCTTTGAAACCTATAAATGTAATAAGATGAAATAGGATTGTATGGCACTTATTTATTATATTCTATTCATTATATACAGATACTCTTTGGCTTTGTACACTTTACCTGCCAGCATATTGCACCTCGCTGTGTCGCATCTGCCACCAGTCTAGGCTTCCACGCAGTCTTCTTCTTACTGCTAAATGACAACATTGCTGAAAAAAGCACAATTGTTCATTAGCATAAGTATAGCCACTAACATACAAATATTTTTAGAACATAACCAGTGCTAGTGCTAGTGGCATTTCTAATATTGAAGTTTTATATAGATAAGTAATACCTCCTGACACATTTTAAATTTGTTTTCCAATTTCATAAGCAAATAACAAAAGAGGCATATTTTCTAGCAGGGTGTTTTCAACTAAGAGAGTTATCAGGACATAAAAGGTTCAATGTGAAGGATTTAATATTTGTCTACTACCTGGTAAGTGTTCAAATTCATTTTATAATTTGAAAATCTGCATTTTTTATAATAAAATGTATGTAAATAAACATACAAAACCCAATATAAGTTTACAATAACCTTAGCACATAATTGTAAGGTTTTATTTTAGTTCTTAGTTGTAAAAATATATAATTTAATTGATATTACAGTATAACAACAAATTCCTATGACAAAACTAAAATCAACGATTACCAAACATTAATAACTTACAGAATTTTTGACTAGTTTCCACGCACGTGGTGGTAGAGTAGTTGGTAACCAGGTCTTTCAAGTATTCCTGTCTGGTTCTTGTGGCCATTGTGGAAAACTTTTCTGAACGGTGGGCAGCGTTTTCTGCGTTTATAACTGTAACAGTCAAATGATCGTTCACTGTGATGTATGCATTGACATTTCAATCATATATTATATTCTAAAGGAATAAACATTTACTGACACACATTTAAAACTATGTCTCTATGACCGAAAAAAATAATTAATAGCTAAAATACACCTTAAAACATCAAGTACGTTCTGAATTCAGTGTAGTTGGACAGAAATTTAAAAAATCTTTTATTTTATAAACTTTTAAATGTATGTATTAGTAACACCTTTCACTAATATTTACTCACTTACCCTTTGCTATGAGAAAATCCGCAAAAGCTTTTGATTTGTTAAAAGTCGCTCCTTCATGAATCGGTGGTCCGAAAACAGGCACTTCCTTTGATCTAGTGACTGCCACACTAAAAAAATTAAATCGTGGAATTTAAATTACGGAATTGAAATATGTTTTACAGATGTACCAGTTGCGTCATTTATGAAAAGTGTCAAGAAACGACATAATTTTAGATTTATGGTATTTGGGACTATACCAAGGCATTTGACAGAGTTGATTTTTATTTTATTGTTCTTGAACTGAAATGCACATACAGAATTGAGGTTCCATTAATTGAGGTTCCATTAATTGAAAAAGTCCAAGTCTAGAAAGATTTTTTTGAAATACGATTAGATAATTTTTTTTCAGTAAACATTTTTTTCTGAGCATGAATATCAGGTTGTAGATGGGCTCTTTCCTCAAAATTTACTATTATTCTAAAAATTATGTCTTTGCCTTTTTTACATGATTAATTTTTAGGTATCAGGTTCATAATCGCCTGGTAATAAGCTTTTGTTAAATTCAATAGAATCCACACAGTCAGCTGTAACAAAAACTGGTAAAAACTCATTAAAATAAACCCTTCGTACCAGTATTGTGTGTTCTCGGTGCAAGGGTTGATCGCTCTAACAATGATGAACACATGTTGGAATTGCGATCTAATGTTCTTTGGTGTAAATGGGAGAGCTCCGGGCTCCTGGAAGACTATTGTCACTATATCGTTACCAATGTGCCTTTTTCTCAGCAGCTGCAAACAGGATAAAAAATATGAATGCAATTACTCAACAGTCAGTTTAATTATGTATGGTGAAATCAATTTATTACATGCATTCTCAGTGTATTCAGTATTGGAGTCTAACAACTAAATCAAGATGTGTCTTAGGGACTTATTAGAATAATTTTAAACTGATCAAACCTAAACTAATAAGATCAGATATTGTCATTGTGTAAGAAAACTTCATGAAAAGACAGTGAAAATGAATTCAACTCAGAATTAGATAATTCAAAAGGCTAGTTGATTGGTTATAAAGAATACAAGTTTTTTTAAGCCAAGAGACAGTGATTTTGAAAAATAAGAACACAAAGCCAACCTACCTGTTGTCTGTTGTTGGGTGTGAATGGCAACAATGTGGAAACATGAAACATAACCTCACAGTCTTGATACTGAGAGTAAACCGAGTACAGACCTGTCGAATCAGCTGAAACACATAGTAAAGTAACATTAGTTAATACCATCCAAGCTAGGCATGCACTTACTATGGAATAGTCAAGGGAAAGAATATGTTTGCTGAGTCAACAAAAAATTCAATAATGTTATGTCTAGTACCTCTTTTTATTAGAACAATATTACAGTGCATGAGACAAATGTTTTATTTGATAAAATATGTTTGCTGGTAATAAAATCCGTAACAACCTAATACATGTAATTATATCATATTGTAATGTAAGAGATTTTGTATGAAAAACCATTGGTTATTCCAGCAAAGTTGAAAATCAGGTAGGCAGACTTGTCTAACCAAGGTACACCAGGTTGAAAAAGATCTAGCCTACTACATATTAATATCTATCTATACTATGTATTGATATCTGAACAGGGACACATGGAAGAAAATTACTAACCCTATGTTTGTTGCTGTATACAAATTAAAATAAAAGTTCAAACATTTAAAAAAGTGTACCAATTCATATTAAACCGGGATTAGTTTAATTAATTTGATTAGAATATTGCCATTTAACTACCTTAATATTTCACCCTAAATAAAACAAAATATTTATTTTGTACAACACATTCTAACAAAGCTAACTGTAACATTTTTGTACCATATCTCTCAAGGAAGTTTGAACCCAAGAAAACAATAAACTCACTCTTATTGTCAAGTCCGGCCTTGTACTTGTCAAAACCTTTTAGTCTGACTTTCTGTCCGATAGTTTCTAGAAACTCTATGAACGCAGGACCAGCGTCTTGGTTGTTGTACATTTCTTCCTCGGTAGACTGACCCGCTCGGCAGTACATGATACCCACCTGGAACGAGCAAACTGATTAGTTATAGACAAAGTGAGTTTGAATTAATCGCTCCACATATAAAACTATTACATGACCCAGCATACAAGATGCACTACTGTCCTTTGAAATACAAAGCTAAGTGCTAAGTGTAAGTGATTTTGATGCTTCAGTCTTCTTACATTGGACTGATTGAGAGACAAACGATTGTTTGGAAACATGTCGACAAAACAAATTAGCAGACATCCACATGAAAAAGTAGTGGTGTTCAGTGTACTCAGTTATTTGTAAAACCTCACAAAATTATTGTACCCAGTTAGTATTTCCTTGGGCTGTCTTTTACGACTATCAAAGCTTGGCAGTATATGTGATCATCTCCTACAATCATGGAAATGTCATAATTTCTTACAAACCACCACGACTTCAAAGGGAAAAATCAACAGAAAACTGGGAATAGGTAGAAGCTCACTCATGAGCTTGGTAATACCAGTAACTACCAGTCCCATACTAAATTTATGAACTTCTTGTCATAGAAATTAAAATACAAATCCCAGTTTAACTGTTTTCCTAGTCAGCTGGCAACACAGCCTCAAAGTTACCGCAGGATCATTTAGCCTGTTGTGGTTCAGCCAAGGGTTCAGTAACGGAGTTGGCGGGCTAGAAGTACTGTATGTACACGATTGACATGAACTTGGGTTAATGAGGAAACTATTAAACTGCAGGGTTCAGCCCCTTGCTCAGTAATGAATCCTATACTCTAATACGAGCAATGTTTGCTTGTATGTATGTATCAGGGTGTCTAGTTTATTTTTATTATAAAATTCAAGACTAATTCCAGACTTTTCAAGACTAATTCCAGATTTTTCAAGACTAGTTTTTTCAACAATTAGTGGGTGTTGATACCAAAATGTATCGATTCTCGATTCTTGATAGCTTAACCAAATGTTCTAAATAATACTACACCAACCCCTGTCTTTGTCATAAAGTAGTATTATGATAATGTGGTGTTTTCAAGTAAAGAAATAATGCAGCAATACAAAATTCTAACTAGCCAATTTGGTTTTTTTTATCATGAAATCTTCCGCGTACCGTACGTTTAGACATCATCATTGACTGCAGCGGTTACAGAAACGTGATCGTCGTCGTCCGCGATCACGGCAAAATCATGAACATTTTCCGCGGCCTTGTAGACATCATCGTCGTCACCTGCAGTCACGGAAACGTCATCGTCGTTGTCCGTGATCGCGACAAAATCATGAACATTTCCCGCGGCCGAGCAGATATCATCGTCGTCGTCCGCGTTCGCGGAAACGTCATCGTCATCTCCCGCGGTCACGGAAACGTCATCGTCGTCGTCCACGATCGCTACAAAATCATGAACTTTTCCCGCGGCCGAGCAGATATCATCGTCGTCTCCCGCGGTCACGGAAACGTCATCGTCGTCTCCCGCGGTCACGGAAACGTCATCATCGTCTCCCGCGGTCACGGAAACGTCATCGTCGTCTCCCGCGGTCACGGAAACGCCATCGTCGTCGTCGTCCACGTTCGCGGAAACGTCATCATCGTCTCCCGCGGTCACGGAAACGTCATCGTCATCTCCCGCGGTCACGGAAACGTCATCGTCGTCATCCGCGTTCGCGGAAACGTCATCGTCATCTCCCGCGGTCACGGAAACGTCATCGTCATCTCCCGCGGTCACGGAAACGTCATCGTCATCTCCCGCGGCCGAGCAAATGTCATCGTCGTCTCCCGCGGTCACGGAAACGTCGTCGTCGTCTCCCGCGGTCACGGAAACGTCATCGTCGTCGTCCGCGATCGCGGCAAAATCATGAACATTTCCCGCGGCTGTTTAGACATCACCGTCATCTCCCGCGGTCACGGAAACGTTATCATCGCCGTCAGCGATCACGGCAAAATCATGAACATTTCCCGCGGCCGTGTAGACATCATTGTCGTCTCCCGCGGTCACGGAAACATCATCGTCATCTCCCGCGGTCACGGAAACGTCATCGTCGTCTCCCGCGGTTTCGGAAACGTCATCGTCGTCGTCCACTATCGCGGCAAAATCGTGAACATTTCCCGAGGCCGTGTAGACATCGTCATCATTGGATTTCGCGGTTACGTAAACGCAAGACGACGATCGCGGCAAAATCATGAAAATTCCCGACTTTGAAATCAAATTTAAGACTAAATCCCGACTTTTCAAGACCATTTTGAAATTCAATACTAATTCCCGACTTTCCCGATTTTCCCGACTACTAGACACCCTGATGTATGTATGCTTGCTTGCTTGCAAACAAGATCTCGAAAACGGCTCCGACGATTTTCTTCAAATGTTTTAAATAGTTTATTTCTGGCCTAAAAACGATTTTACTGCAGTTAGAACTGCCAACAAAAATCTAATTACGTAGAAAAATGAAACTGAAAATCACATTTTTTTAACATTAGTCTTATGGGTTGCTAGGTAACCATGTTGGCTGAATTAAATAACAAAGAAAAAGTAAACAAAAGACTTGAAGCTGTAACATGTGTTCATAATAAGCCAGCTACCCACAGTATACTAGCAAACTCGCCAAAGGCCCCCTAGCTGTTAGTCGTCATTAGTAGATTAGAGTTTAGCCCCAGTCCCCCATTGTAGAGGATTTAATATTGGGGGAGGGGTTGTAAATACGATAGGAGGATAAAACCCTAAGTAAACCAGAGTAACTACAAAATATTAATAATATTTAAAAAAAGAATTTAATTCGATTGGGAAAAGTGGCGAAAATCGTAAAAAATTGATTAAAATTTACCAAATATTAATGGTAGGGCATTTTTTTAAAGTTGAAGGTGTGCGATTTCCGAAAAACGCTTAAGAGTGTTTTGTAGAAAATTTAATTCCTGTTCGTAAAGATTCTTTCAAATCTTTTCCAGCTCTTACCGTTTTCGAGCTATACCCCTTTAAAAAAAACGTGTTTTGTCGTTTTCAGAGGTCCGCCATATTGGATTTTTGCGGGGTTAAAATTTGAAAATGGGACTTTTGCAAGATTCACCGTTAATGTAAGATCCCATAATACAATACTACTAAGTTTCAAGTCTCTAGCACCTTTCTAAACGGTTCAGATGAGCATACCAAAGACGGCAACTTTCAGTGTTTTATCGTTTTTAGATGTCCGCCATTTTGGATTTTTGGGGAGGTTAAAAATTTAAAATGTGAGTTTTGCAAATTTCACCCTTAGCTTATCATCCCATACTACAATACTACAAAATTACAAGTCTCTAGTACGTTTCTAAACGATTCGGATGACCATAACAAAGTCATTAAATTTCAATGTTATCTTCCATGAGAATAACATGGGGCTCGTAAAAACTTTCAAATTTTGACATTAAAATTAAGTTTTTGGGGTCAAGGAGTAAAGTTACGAAAACTCATGTCATAAGTAAAATTTAAAGTAAAAGAAGGAGAATTTTACAAGGCAATAATAATACAAGGCAAAAAGGAATGATTTAAGTATGAAAAAATAGCGAAAATCGGTAAAAAATTGAAAGAAATTTACCAAATTTTGAAAGTAGGGCGTTTTTTGAAGCCGAAGGAGTGCGATTTTCGGAAAACGCCCAAGAGGGTTTTGTAGAAAATTTAATTCCTGTTCATAAAGATTCTTTCAAATCTTTTCTAGCTCTTACTGTTTTCGAGCTATATCCGTTTGAAAAAAACGTGTTTTATCGTTTTCAGAGGTCCGCCATTTTGGGTTTTTGGCGGGGTTAAAATTTTAAAATCGGACTTTTGCAAATTTCACCGTTATATAAGATCCCCTACTACATTAATACCAAGTTTCAAGTCTCTAGCACGTTTATAAGTGGTTCAGATGAGCATACCAAAGTAGGCATTTTCCATTGTTATTCTCCATAAGAATAACACGGGGCATGTAAAAGTGGTAAAGAATCTTTAAATTTTGTTATTAAACCTAAGTTTTGGGGGTTAAGGAGTAAAGATAAAAAAAAAAAACATTAAATATGTACAATTTAAAGTAAATTAAGGAGAATACAGAGCATTAATAATATCTGCAAAAAAGAATGATTTAAATATGAAAAAATAGCGAAAACCGGAAAACTTTTGAAAGAAATTTACTAAATTTTGAAAGTAGGGCGTATTTTGAAGCTTAAGTAGTGAGATTTTTGGAAAACGCCGATAAGGGTTTTGTAGAAAATTTAATTTCCGTTCGCAAGATTCTTTCAAATCTTGTTTAGCTCTTACCGTTTTCGAGCTATAGCCCTTTGAAAAAAACGTGTTTTGTCGTTTTCAGAGGTCCGCCATTTTGGATTTTTCGGTGGGTTAAAATTTGAAAATGGGACTTTTGCATATTCCACCGGTAATGTAAGATCTCTTACTACAATACTACGCAAATTTGAAGTCTCTAGCACGTTTCTAAACGATTCATATGACCATACCAAAGTCGGCAATTTTTAATGTTATTCCCCATAAGAATAACATGGGGGGAAACCCTTAATTTCGGGGGGGTTAAAATTTGAAAATGCGACTTTTTTGGATTTTCCCGGGGGTTTGGGCCCAAGAACTACAAGTTTGCGAAATTTCAACTCCCTAGCACATCTAGAAGAGCCACGCTGTTGTAATAAAAACATAAAAAACAATTTCTGCAAGAGGGGTTATGGGGGGTGGGTGACATAAACAACGACTTCCAACTTGGTTGTAACAAAAAAAAACTACCGTTTCACAACATTAAACCTACACAAATTAAAAATATCTAGAACGACGAGAAACAGTTTTACATGAGATTTGAGTTTTCTTAGGGGGGGTGTTGTAGGTTTGGGGGTGTATAAGATGAGATTGGCCTCTTTTTTTATTTTTCAAATGACTTACGACCATGAATAACTTAAAAATTTTTACTAAGACCTTAAAAAGGCTTGAAATGCCATTATATTCTTCGCATGCTAATTCTCTATTTGATTAACATGGGGGATATTTTAAACCATAAGGGGGGTTTAAAATGAGAAAATAACGATTTTAATAATATTTAAGGTAA